TAAAGACATCAAAATGCTTGCTTAAGCCGTAAACACCTGATTATCAGCATTTCTCATATGATATCAAAGGAGAAGATTACGGTAATTGAGCGGTAGCAAACAATTATTCGAAAAAGAAAGCCAAGCAAAAATCTGTTAAGCAAAAGCGATAACATTTTCAGACGAGAACAGGTCTTTTCGACCATAAACTAGTCACTACAACTTTGATACTTGAAAATGTATGCCAATCAAAACAAAGCCTTTTTTCTGTTGTCAATCAGCATTTCTGCGTTGATCTAGGGTACTTCGGAAAATGAGGGTCTGAATTTACACTCTTGTGTCATCGGATGGGAAAAAATCAAAAGTTCTCAAAAAATTGATAAAAAATCCGTTGATTTATCCAATTCAGCCAACGACTGCATGTGTCAGTCTTGTTAGCGTTATTGTAGCCAATTTTCTGGTGTTTATAGAGGTCTCCTCTGAAGATGAGAATATGATATGACAGCCAAGATTTCTTATTCAAAGCAAAGTCCATTACGGCTTGCAGTTTTCAAATTTTTTAAGAGAGTGCCAGCGATTTTGAGTCCAAGATTTGCAAATAAAAGAATATAATAGAGAAGTTGAAAATTGCTGCTTGACTAAGAGGGTAAAGGAAATCTAAGCCGCCAAGAATTTTATAGATCAGAACAGGAAAAATCTGGAGATGTAGAACACGATTCCATGAAGAATTGCACGAAAGCTAGGCCTTAGGCCTAAAGACCCAAAAGAAAACCCAATACAGCTTATGGATTAACTGACAAACTAGATCGAATTACTGCCAGGCAGATGAATACGCTGGCAAAAGCAATTAACATATGGCTTGACGTTAATTGGCTCGGCCCTAACGGTTTTGCTGCATGTTATTGCATCCGGCAGTAATAGTAACATTTCTTCAGTAAAAGGAGAAATTACATAAACTTTATGCTGGCCACATAAAATACGATGCTAAAACTCTTTGGATTTCCTGACTTTGGCTAAGGAACTGCAACTGAAGTTTATTTCTGCTTTGAATCTAGAGTCTTTATGAATAGCAACTCAAAAAAAAAAGAATTCATTAGACTTTGAAAGTTTTTCTCGCTAAAGACAAAATTATTTTCTATTTTCGAATATTAATCCTAAAAAAATGATCACACTTATCAAAGGACCTTTTTCCAATTCTTTGAACAAGTCACAAGCAATGAATACGCTCTTAGCCATCACTTTAATTAAATTACTGCGCATAGTAATTTATTTGGTAGCTCAAGGGTGATCTGTGCAATTGCACAACTGCGTTTCACAAGGTAGCAACAGTAAGACAATAATAGTGCGTGTTGAATCCTCCTTGTTGAATGCACATTCAATAAATTCAAAAAGCGAAAAGAAAACTGTTGAAAGGCAACGAGAGAGAAACCGCTATTTTTTTCGGCGCGATGACTGTGTGCAGTTGCACAAATTTGGTCAGAAAAAGCATTGATTATCCTAAACGTGCTTGAAATTCAAAATGGCAGGCCAAACTATAAAATTACCGAATTCAAAGGCAAATGAACATTTCAGAAAGTAAGTTTTTGAAAACTGGATCGCAAATATGACAATGGAATACGACCATTCTCGCGCAAAATTCGCAGGATTGCCACGTTTTGCGGAATACGCGGAATTTGCGCGACTTGACCGTAATTTATAAGGCAAAAAATTAGCAAAGTTAGCATTGCCAATGTCACAGAAGAGTAATTAACGGAGTCAAGCAAACTATAACGACAAGCCAAGCAAGCCGTGTTAGGAGCTAGGGACTTATCGATTGCGGCTCTATCTCTGTGTTCTCGTGTTCCTCGGGTAAGAATTGTCGGAAGTCGTGTACGTGGCCGAAACTACGCCCGCGTTCTCTGAGGCGTTCATAAATCGGGTGCGCATTATGCACAGACACATTAGGTGCAATTGGCATAAACCTTTGAACTTTTTCGCCAATCGGAATGAAAGATGGGGAGAGGAGAAAATAGGAGTAAAAGTTTCATGTAGGGACGATTATTGGATCGCTAGTTCATTCTGCTAATGGGACCATCAGTCCAATCATGAAGCATCAGCAGATTTTTACTGGTTCAGGAATTTGCCTATGTGTCGGCCCCGTGCCAAAGCCGTTCCACTGCCGAAAAAGAGCCCACATGGACGGTATCGTGTTAGGCAATCAATCTCACGGACATAATCTTCACGGCGCTAGCACGATTCTGGAATGGCGCTGGCATGTACACTCTGACCGCAGGCTTGATGTTGCGCGCTAAATTTCAACTTAATCATGTTTTCAAGTATTACTCTTTATATAATTGTTGATAGCAAACGCGAATTCGCGTCATGATTACCGTATCCCACAGCTTGTATAGGCGAATAGTAGCTGAATATACATCATTTTCAGGCAGTGTCTGAGATTGTTCGCTACCGGCTCTGAAAACGCTGTTCCAGCGCCGTTCCACTGTCGTACTGAAAAACTCATGTGAACGCCGTGCCGAGCGCTACGTAGCTCTGACACGACGCTAACACGGCGATGGCACGAGTGTCACGGGCAACTCTAGGCGCAGTTTGAACAACTCATTCCCAGTGGAAAACTACTGTGACTGTTCTGAGGTAACATTGAATTAACCTATTCTTATGCGTTCTAATCTTCTGTATCTCTTCAATCCTGCACAAAAATTCTACAGTTTTTTGACTTTGTTTTCTTCTGATATACCGTGGAGCGCCTACCATCCAAATAGTCAGGTAAAAAATAAACTAAATACACCACTCTGAAGAGATTAGAAAAAGCAAGGGCGGAAAAAGGACTGCAGGTCCAGAACTTGCTGCTTATAAATCTAATAAACTCGCGAATTTCTTCTATAGGGCTCTAAGCGAAACCAATTTAAGCTAAATATACTTGAAATATGCGGAAACAGACTCATAACATATACTTGGAATATGCAGGAAACCAGACTCATATACTTGTTTTGAAAAATAGTGAGGTTTTAATCTTTATAAAACGGTCTAATATACTCATTTCTGCAGAAGAGACATATAATCTCTACTAACAAGGGAAGGATACCAACATTAGTAGGCGATTGAAGAGTTATGTATACCACTGAACGCGCCTTCGAACGCTGATTCCAAATCTACTTTTCTTTTTTGCGGAATAGGTTTCGGAAAGAAGTTATGAGCGTTTGAATGACCGAATTTGCCAAGCATCGAGTGGCTTGAAATCAACGAAAAGCTCCAAAACAATATCTCTGCGATTTCCACCGGCTTTATTTTCCTTGCAAATATACTCGATACAAAACTGATTTTCCACTTTCCGGTGTTTTTGTACAGCTTTTCGCCAATTTTAGGCCATCTAAACCTTGACAAATTTGGACATTCAAACGACTTCTTCCGAAAACTTATTCCGCAAAAAGGAAAGCAGATTTGGAATCAGCGTTTAAAGGCGCGTCTAATTATATACATCACATCTACAATCGCCGACTAATGTTGATATCATTTCCCTGTAAGTATGAAAAACTCATTTTCTGCTGTAGTCATTGTAAGATTCAACTGTTTTTTCATCCATCGTTTCTATATGATTGCGTTTTACCTTGGCTCCCTTACTTGAAAACTCAAATATCAAACTCGTAGCTGACCCACACATTGTCCGAACACCGAGCCTCTGGTTGTAATAAGAGCAGCTGGTTGTGTTTGACGACTCAGCGGCTATCGATTTATTCGGCTCTTTTCCTAAGTTTTGTGAGTTTCGATTTTTTGGATAGATTCTCTTTTTATTAGTTTATCATCTACAAGGAGTTTGGTTGATTTGATTTAGAGTTTAATTTGCAAAACAAAATATTGTATCCAACAAATCTAACAACTTGCTTGAAAGTATACCGTTTTTCTATAGTTAAGCGGTCGAGCTTGTGCAAATTAAAGATATACAATACAATATTTCCCCCTAAAGTGGGCTTGAGCATTAATTTTGAATGATTTCTCATCGTCAAACAACATTACCCGAATGTTTTGTTTGTATAGCTCAAAAGCACTAGTTAAAAACCACCGTAAACTGCCAAAGCGGTAAAATTCACTTCAAAATGTACTTTCTTCTGAATTTATCCATGGATACTTTCTATTAACTACATTGACAGGGTAAAACAAACAGAAGTCAAAAACTGTTGAAAACTATAAAGTCTTTAATTATCTGATGAATGCAAAAGCTCTTAGATGATTTTTTTAGCGAAAGTTCTGCTCAAAATTCATTCCTACATCATCAATTTTTCGAATTTAATCTTTTGCAATGGAAGTTCTAACAAAGTTATTTGATTTATTGTGTATGCGTGGAGTCTGCTTCGGCTCGATAGGCACATTAGTGTTTAGTTGCCAAGATGAAAATGTGTGCAATTGCACAAAGGAGACATATTTACCTATTCCACAGTTTGGTACAAATTTTTCGAAGTTTTTCTTTGTTGTAAGTGACATTCTGTCTGGGTGATTTTTAATTACGGCATTTCGTCTTACTATGTTTATGAAAGTCTATTATGAAGCTGACCATTGTGTTTTGATTTGATAGAGTTGCGCTGAATCTACCTCGGTTCCATATCTCGCATTTCAGATTTGGCCCCCGCACCTCTACTAAAACCCCGCCCCTTTAGTGGCTAACTCCGCCCACTCTGTTAAAATGACTCGCAACTCTGTAGGACTAGATGTGTACTAGAGAATCTATACTTTGACCATTTCTCATACCTCGGCATGTGATTTCTTCTTCCAGAAATGGCTCCGCCGGCCTATATGCGTTCCGGCTCGGAGACTTCATTTCCTTCAGCGAGCGATAGTCGTGAAGATGCCGATGCGATAAATGTGACGGGCCTAAGGGAGAAAAAGCTTTACGCTTTGATAGGATGCTTAGTACTTCTGACAGTTTTAGCACTATTTTTATTAACTGTAAGTTTCAAGATTTCAAGATTTCGTAACGATTTATTGATTATATCGATTGTTTTCAGATAAATATAATGATCATAGTTTCACTTCAAATGAATCGTCATGGTATGAGGTTTTTACGATTTCATGATGTACGAAATCCACAAACTGGAGAATTAGAAAAGGTGGGTAAACTTTTACGCAAGTCTTCTCAAGTTTTTGAGATTCAGATTCAAAAATACAATTCTCAGAAAAAAATTAGAACATTCAATTTTTTTTTCTGGAACAAAAATTTTCCTTACTTTAGGTAGTTCAGTTTGATGGAAACGTTGTGGATTTAGGCACTGTCGTTACTGATGGTAACGTAGCTGGATATAAAGATAAAGATCTTTATATACAAGGATCTAGAGTAAGTGATATTTAAATTTGTTTTTAGCAATTTCTTCAAACCCAAGTAGGAAAAATTCTTCACTTTTTTTGTCTACATGAATAAAAGTTCATTTCAATTTACTGTAGAAACTCTTGAATTTTCTTGAAATGACTAAATCCTCGAAAAAAAATTTGACTACTATACAAAATTAGCTGGGTACCAAGATTACCAGAATTTACCCAAATATTTTAGGTTTTGGCATCAGGTGCTGCAAATAGCACTCGTCTAATAATACAAGAAAGTGGATGCAGATTAGAAAATACAGAACATTTTCAGGTCAGTCATTAGCGTATTAAAGATTTATCAGAGAGCTGATTGAAATAGAACTATGAGAGGATTTATAAGCTATCAATTTCTCCAAAACTTGGAAGCGTTCAAAAACTTGCGACAGAAATGAACGAAGCGGTTTTAGATATTTCTACAAACGAAATAACTTACATGAAACGGAAATATTCTGAAAAATTTGCTGTTTCAGATAATTTCGTCCCAAACTCTACGACCATTGTTCAGCGCACAGCATCCTGTCATCTCCATTGATAAGAGAATCAAAAAGCTTTCTACTAACAAAATTGTTACGAACAAGGTAAGCAGAGGGTTATCAAGAAGTTTCTGCCAATTTTTGAGTTTTCTTCGAAAAAATTTCTTTTTTTTTTCAGAATTTTCCATTAACTTTCTCGATAATATTCACTTCAGATACGATCACCAATCGACGAAGATTTGATGATCAATGTAGAAAATTTATCCATTCGAGGAAATGAAGGAATACGTATGGAAGCAAATACCGTGAAATTTCTAGGCACAACAGCAGTGATTTTTAATACATCGGTAGGAAAACAAAAGCTCTTGAGCTGCGTTCAGGGTTGCCCGGTGCCAGCGCCGTTCCAAAGCCGATCCAGCGCCGAGCCAGAATCCACGTGGACGCGTTGTGTGCTGACCGATCGATCTCGCCGGCACAGTAGAGCTACTATCACTGTGCTGGAGCAACGCTGAATGTCGGGGGGTTTAACGATCAATACGCAATGTGTGCAAGCGAATCCCGGCGCTGGCACGGCACTGGCACGGGCAACTCTAAATGCAGCCTTACGGAACAGATAATCATAAAGAAAGAATAATTTTGCAGCGAGACGGTTCTATCCAACTGGGAGGTCGCCTACGATTGGACACTTCTTCCCGGGGACTACCTCTGTCCCCATCCCCCGCACTATCTGCATCCATAGACGCTTTTCGAGTCTGCGTTTGTGCTGGAGTTCGAAACAAACTTTTCTTGACACCCGGCAACAAACCTTGCCATTCAAGTAATGCTTTATGCACATGATAATGCTAATAAATTATTTCATAATTTTTCACAGTTTTTCAAATTACAAACATCAAAATGTTTCACAGACAGTTCGAGCGGTTCCTTCAGTTTCAATGTAACCGTTCGTGTAGGTTTCGTCATAGTGAAGCCGTTGTCCGAAAACCATCCCAAAAATGGTGTTTTGACGGATATCCAAGTGAATGGTGATACTTTGGTTGCATTGATGGTTAGAGTATAGGTGTAGCTGTCGACTGGCTTGAAGCTGCTGATTGATACGTCGCCATATTCAGTGAAATCAACCTGAATAAAACCGCAGTTTCATTTCATTTCAATATTCATTCTAAGAGTAATCTATAAGACATTGAAAGTAAGCACCTTGCGAGTTTTCTGGGGAAATTTTATTTGCAATTGTAGCTCACCTTCGTCTGCAACTGGTTTGAGGTCAAAAAGCCGCTTTCTTGCTTTCTTTTATCTTCTTTCCTCTTCTTTTTATTTTTTAGGTGTATTTCTGCTTTAAAAAAAGCTTCCAAGGTTTAGCACAAAGTGATTCTACAGATTTGGAAACAAAACCCCTCTTACGGAGTTACAATATCCAGTTTGGCTACTTGGCTTACGTTTGCATCAGCTACCGTAGTAAACAGTTAGCGTCCCTCAATCAATATATCGATTTTCTCGGTGGCACAATCAGTCTACCGTAACTCAAAGTCTGCAGCTACCATCGAATATCAATTTTTTGATGTACTGGTTATGTGTTGATAATCCCGCATATGTTTACTTTGAATGAACATACACAAATTCCTTAATATTTGGTCCCCCCCCCCTTACATTATTCCCCTTGGTTTTTTGCCTCAACATCACGGCAAGCGGAATTTGACTATCATAATGCTTGCCCAGACATGTTGCTTGATTTATTGTGTAGTCTGCAAGTGCACAAGATTTACCTCATTTAAAAGTACTTAAGAGTACTACAGCACTTAAAAGCCGAAAAAAAAAACAGGAAAAATTCAATACGATATTCGCCGTACCTCATAGAGCCTTTCTGGAAGAAGTATTGTCTCTGGAGCTATAAAATTATCGGAACTATTCAGAAGTCGTGCACGTATGACAAAATCAGCATCGCTGGTCCTCAATAACCTGCAAAAAAACCTTTAATATGGATTCCGTTTTGGATAAATAATCTACATGGGCCACACTTACGTAGAGAACTTCACTTCTATAGATGACATTGGCTCAACTTTGACAACTTTCTCATCAGTGTAGATAGGATCGAAGCCATTACCCCAAGCTAGCATATCCACAATTAACTTTGCATCGTTGATATCCTCGGGAGAGTCGTTAACCACAGACACTCCAATATCGTTGGAGCCAATTGCATACTAAAAAAATTCTTGAGTAAGAAGCCCAAAAACAGGTTATAGCACAAAATTTTGAGGGAACATATGGAAACTAGTGAACCAGTAACTAAAGGTGCTAGATTGTATCCGCGCGCTTCGGGACCGCATCGCAATTTCCCGCTATTTGATGATTTTTGAGTTGGCGTTACGATTCTTTATATATTAAATTGAACTAGTAAACCAGTAATCTAAAAGTGCTATTTGGAAGACGTTCGTTTCAGGACCCGCTCTCGGTTCCCCGCTACTTGCACATTTTTGAACTGAGCTAACGATTCTTTATATATTAGATAAATAGATAAAAGATTAGATTAGATATCAGGGTTGGTGGCATAATGTTATACTATTTATCACGACAACGCCCGCATAGCATTCGATAGAGAATTCTATGAGACATGCCTCCTTAAATCAAAAAATAAGCTTTCTTCAAATAATGAAGACAAAAATAATCTTTTAAAAAATCTAGGGAAACCTTGTAAAAAATTCGGAAGAGCTTTTCAGTAATTGGGGATCTCACAAAAATTTATTTTTCCAGAGGATGAAGCTATTTCAGCGTACTTCCATTTCTAGGGAATGTCACTTGTGTACTCATACTTGCATTTGGTACTTTGCCAAGCCACAGCAGAAAAAAAAACAAGAAACTTGAAAAATGTAGATACCGCCGCAGTTAATACGAATGGCGTCATACCTGCCATAGTCGCCACTGCGGACCCAGATCCAAATTAAATCGGGATCCAAGTAGGCACGCAAAAGTGCGAGCAGAAAGTTTGGTAGAGCCCCAATTTTATAAATCGAACGGTGTCGCACGTGTAACATACACCGCACAAAAGCAGTGGTGGGCCAAATTTTGTCATCTCCGCTCAACCACTGTGACCGGCGCGCAGCTTAGCGCACTGGCTCAGATCCGGTATAAGCGACCATGAACCGTCGTAAACTCCGTACCCTTGCTTGGATATATAGTATGCTATACTATACTTCCATTTATTTGTATTGTTTAGACATTCACTTTCACAAATGATTCAATTATAAGAATGCTCATGTCAAAGAAAAATTTTTAACCAATTTAATAAGTATTTTATTGGAGTGACCTACCAAAGCAACTATGATAGGAGCCATGAATCGCCTAGCTTCGTAGTGCACCATTTTCCAGTTCAGATCCGTATCAATAGATGACCATGTCGGAGCAGCCCAAACATCATTCAACTGCCAATATAGCGCACACATCGTATTTCCTAAGCCATCAGATGTAAGGCGATTTCGGAATCTAAAACAAACAGCTAGGATTACGGCACTCTCAAGGACGCTTATCAAACCTTCTGTAATGCTCAGTTTGTGTTTTGTAAGCGATAGCTTGATGAGCTTGAGAATAGTAAGCGAAACGATCTACAAACGACGATGATGATTTCACATATTCGCAATTATGCAGCTCCGAGAGCGACTGAGTGCAACGGAACGGTATCTGTAGAATTCTAGGGTAACTAGATTTTTCGTAGCGAAAACAACTTCTTACCCGAAAATGTGAAAAAATCATAAACAAATTGGTCAGAACACCACCAGGATGATGTTGTCGATTGCGAAGCTGCTCGGATAAATACGACCATTCAGATGAATTTATATGCTTAAGCATCGTACTTCTGAAAGAAAACCAACTTAGAACGAAGCGTGTTTTGTATGATTTTTTTAGGTATAGGGAAGCTTCTGAAGCGTTCGCGCGCAAAGTTCGCGTCGCGTTTGGCGCGCTGAAAAATGTGGACGACATTGTTCAACAGGGGAGCATCATAGTTCAAAACCAAAATCATGTTCACCCATAAACCTGTTAGACATGGTGAATGTACGATAGTGAACAAGTGCTTGCGCACAAAACTCGTCCGCATCCTCTGCTCCGCCCTGCCAAGCCTAACCAATCGCGGCGACGCGCTGACCAATCAAGCGGGCGCCCTGATGGCGAGCGGTCTATAAAGGCTCCCCGATTTTTTGGAAAAAGAAAACTTAAATTCCAAAATAATTTGAAAAAAGATTTTTTTTGTAGAAAGAAATCAACAACCACGATCTACTCACGCAAACGGGAGACTTTGGACTCCAAATTCTGTTGCACATCTCGGCGTTTGATAGGTGCTATCCCGCCAAAGGTCTGCTAGTTCATTATAGTAATGAATATCGCCGTATCGCTGATCGCCAGGGGTGAGCGACACACCGCCCTCTCTGAAAATTACTGTAGTTGACAATAAAGTTAGAAAGTCCTTCAAGGCTACGCCCAGACAGATCTGGGTCCTTGGACTTCTTGAGTGGGACTCTCGTCAGAACACGGTCCAAACGGCAGCTCGTACGACTCATTTTTAGCTACAAAAATCATATGTGAACTCTCGCCCAGACAAAACTCTTCGGGAGGATCAGCCCTCGGTTACTGTATTGGGCGAAAGTTTAGAGTTGAAATTCTCGGCGAGGAATCAATTACATGAGCTGCTACTTGTACAATGACGTGAATAAAATCTTTCACAGTGGAAATAAGCCTAACTCTTCTGTCCGCACTCCATTACTAGGGCTTGACAAGAGAAACGGTCGTGATGAGTCAATGCTTTCGACCAAAGGTTTGATAACTCCACTATACAATTTGACATAGTCATATACTTGGTGGTCTTCTGTAAAGAAATGATAATAATAATGTATTAATATGAATGATAAATTTTCTTTGAGAAGGAATCGAAAATCTACCAGTATAATTGTTAGGACTCCACCAATGTGTTCTTATGGCGAGTTCGTTCTCATTATTTCCAGCCCATAGTAAGATTGAAACATGCCGCTTGATTCTCCAGACCTTAAGCGAATATTCAGAATTATTGCACCATTACAAACTCCCATTTTCATGTAAATTTCAAAAACTGTCATTTTTCAGGCATTATTAGTTATATAAAACGTATATCTACCCGATTCGAGCCAAATATTACATTATCAGTCTTTTCTTTGATCTGTGTTTAACACATTGACGACAACGTGACCCACATGGTGGGTCATGCAATGACTGCCACGTGGGACAATGTGACCCACATGGTGGGTCACGGCATAAATTTTTTTGAAATAATAACAATTACCGGGTACATCCGTTTCCTGAGGTCTTTTACGCTCTAACCCTAGAAAATACCTTGACGTTTCTTGGCCGCTTTCAAGAATTTGTGTAGGTATAGTTAAGATGACGATTTGCTTGATTTTAGCTAGAAATTTTCGACTCGTTCGTGAAAGGCATTGTCCCACAAGGCAGACAACTAAAAATACGCGTTGTCGTCAACGTGTTAAAGTTGCCCGTGTGCCGGCGCCGTGTCGACCAATCAAACGCACGCGGATGACTCCAGCGTCTCAGCACGGCGCTGACACGGCATAGGCACGTACAATCCCGGCAGGCTCGAAGCTTCCTTAGCAAATCTCGTCATAAAACTCCAAATTTTCTTGATTACCAAAATCTGAGTTCTCTTGCATTATTTTGGTTCTATTTCTTTAGAAGGGGCGATAAATGCATACCTGCTGCATGATCTCGGTTTTCACGCTTTCCAGAAATCCAGGATCATTTGGATAGAGAGCACATGCAAACATCAAGTCCTGCAAAGCTAGAAAAACACTCATCTTTCCAGTAACCAAGTGAATCAGTAAAGTGATTACCTGCCAAATTAACAGTCCTTTTTTATCAGCTAGTTCATAAAATTCTTCTGTTTCGTATACGCCGCCACCCCACACACGAAGAGTGTTCATACCTAAGGCAGCATTACTAGTTAAGAGAATTTTGGAATAAACGGTACAGTAAGCAGACCTGCTTCGACTGCAGAATCCAGCAAAAAGTTGACCCGACGCGAATGATCTGCAGCCAAAAAATTCGATGCAGGTATCCAGTTTGAGCCTAAAAACAGCTCATGGGCCAACACTCACGATGGAAATAATTGTATCCTCAGCATAGCTTTGCATTCACAAAGGAAAGAAATAAAAACAAGAAAAAAAGTAAATTCTGACTTCCATTTCAATTCTTATGTTCCTTTTCTCCAAAACAAACATTACCTGTTACTTGCACTATCATCTCATAGATTTCTTCGAATGAATTTTCTCAAGAGAAAGAAGGACAGACAAGTACAGATTTCTGCTAGAAGAGAGCAGCTTCACTTTTTTTGGAAAATCTGTCGAATTTATCAAAGAGTGGAAACACTGAAGTGTTGCTAGAAGGCGTGCATAATTGACTGTCAAAAATTCATAGTTGTAGGCAAATTTAATCTTCATATTCTTCCAAAATTCATAGTTATACTTTCCATCACGTACAGTCTGCAAAACCCATTTCGGCTAATAAGGGATAAATTAAATATTGCAAGATTTGATCTAGCTTCAGGTTTTCTTCGAACTCTGATGACTAATCTTTGAAGATGAAAAGAACTGAAGATTGATTTATTTTTACCTATGAAATTTCTGAAATATAGTTATTTTGCGCCTTCTGGAACAGTGTTTCGGATCTCTAAATTCTTGTTGATAAAGGCCTGAATCCGCAATAAGCTTCACTCACGCGCCCCCCTCCCCGTTTATGAGTGAGAAATCTTTCTAAACGCCCTGAAATCAAATAAATTTCACCTTTGAGGAAAACTGGGCGGTCATTGATTTTGAAGTAGAAGTGACGTCCTTTGTCCTTATGTTTGTCATCCACATAATCCTGAACCAATTCTATGTGTCGAAATCCAATTCGATGTGAAATTTCTGGAATTACCATTGGATACAGTAAGACATAAAGTAATGAATCTGTTGCATAGAAGTATATCCAGATGAAAAATGCAGAAAGAAAAACACCCACTTTGTTCTCCGCATTCCAATTTGATTTCATAAAGTTTCTGCTGCCCTTCTCCATTCGGCCACCAAAGCTCAACCTTTTCCGAGGGTAATTCCACATCAAATTTTAGCGTCTGCATTAGCGGAGCTGGCCTAGTGATGTTGAATATGTACTTTTGGTCCACTCCAAGCTCTTCTATTTTAATCCTCATCACTATATCATCGGCGTCTACCACCAAAGCCTTTGCATCTCCATGAACGAACCAAATATCTGAAATTTCTAATTAAAGAACTTGTAAGCTATTTGTTGAATGGGAACTGAAAAAAGCTTACTCGAGCGTCGCTCAGTCGTGAAAGAAAAGTCTGTGACAGTATGGTTATTGAATGCTATTATGTCTATGCCTTTCCAGAGTCCCATTGTAGGAAATGATGGTCCCCAATCCCAGCTGAAGCTGTACTGTGCTTTTCTAAACATGTACTTTCTATATCATGGGAAAGAAAACGATAATTTTTTTTCAGCCGATGGAGCCCTCTGATTTTGACAAAATCATGTCGAAAAATTTTGAAAAAGGAAGTAAGAAAAAACTTGGAAAACCAGGGGACACACCTGATAAAGTTCGGATGACATTCTCCATGATATACTACTGGAGGACAAACAGGTGGCACTTCATGACCATAAGATTTCTGAAAAAGAAAAACTGAAAAGCTTAGGTGTTTCTGTATCTTGCCAAGTAGGTAGTTTTCCCAAGTACTGTAACGACAAAAAGCCATTTTAGCATTTCTACGCGGAAAAGATTACTGGTGAATTTGAAAATAATGTTCAAACAATTCTAGGTACCGAGTATTATTAGGCTGCTGCATAAGTTCTGCCCGATTTGAAATTTTGAATTCAAAAAATCATAACTTTCTTTAAAATCAACTTTTTTCATGGTCTTAGTTTCTGTGTGTTGAGCAGTCCTTGGCTATAAGAAAAAAACTAGCTCCTGCGAAAAATCCAGTTAATGACGAAGCAAGAACCAGGGCTCGGCACAGGTGGCTTGTAAGCAAGCTGGATATCGTTTTAAGGACAAAAAGCAAAGGAGGTTTCGTTTTTGAGATCGAAAAGAGGCAAAAATTGCGACGTTTTTTTCGGTCGTTTTATTTTTTGGGGATTTTAGGGATTATGGTCTAGGGTCAAAGGAGAGTTCGTATAAATTCGCAAAAGTCAAGGGGAACTTCGTTTTTTGCATTTTCAACTAGCCACCTCGTGCCAAGCCCTGGCAAGAACTCAAAATCCTCACAGCGTTCTTCTTAAGTCTGTCTTATTTGATGGCAATGCTCCCTCATGAGAAGCGACAGACATATTGAGTAGCTATGGGTAGATAGAGAAATTTTCAAAGACTAACACCCTAAAGAGCTCATAGGATTTTTGGTGTCGAAAAAAAAATTTTTTTGACAGAATGAAAACGAAGCTTTTTTCAATCTCGTTTCAGTACAGGTAGGTACGCCAACTTTCAAATTATGAAAATTCTATGTACATTGGGGTGAAAGGTAACTGTGGCTGTGCTCTGATAGCTCTTGTTTTACTCCAGCACTCCAACATTAGACTCATCCATTGCCTCTATTCACTGAAAGTTACTTGTAGAACTTTTGTAAGATAACTAATCTCCAACGACAATTTTACTAGCGCTTTTTACATAAAAGTGACTTTGTGCATATAGTAGACTGATTCACTCTTATTTCGTGACCAAAACAAGGATTTGATTTGAAGAGCATATTGTGAAGATATTGTCGTAAGATATTTTCTTAGCTGAGAACTGCCTCGACCATCTAAGGATCACAGGCCTACAATCTCATCAGACTGGGAATTTTACTAAAATATGATATGTGTTAGAAAGAGCAAGAAAAGCGCGTTCTGATGATACAAATAATGTCGCATTACGAGTGAAATTCTCCTAGAACGGCTGCTTCAAACACAAGGCAAAAAAAATCAAACAGAACCAGGGCTCGGCACAGGTGGCTTGTAAGCCAGCTGGTATCGTTTTTTGAGACGAAAAGCAAAGGGGGTTTCGTTTTTGTGACCGAAGAGAGATGCAAAATTGGTGACTTGGCGACGTTTTTTTAAGTCGACGTTTCGTTTTTAGGGGGATTTTGGGGAATTCTTCAGGTTTTTAGAGGAAATTTGGTTGAGGGTCAAAGGGGACTTCGTGAAAATTCCCAAAAGTCAAGGGGGACTTCGCTTTTTCCATTTTCATCTAGCCACCTCGTGCCGAGCCCTGAACAGAACTTATGCAGCAGCCTAGTAGTCTATGAAAAATGACTGAAGCCAGGTAAACCGTTGCCCGCGCGGCAAGCGTACTGATAGTGGGCAAAAATCAACTTTTTTGAGTCCAAATATCGAGTTTGTGTGGGTTAATTCTTCAAAAAGACAACAGCAATATTTCGAGCGGCAGTTATTATCAATAACCCCTGTCAAGAAATCCAAAGCTAAAATTTCAACAGCTTCATTTTCCGTATAACCATTTGAAACTTTTTAGAAAATAAACACTCTACTCCTCAAAGGAATTCAGAAGGCAAATTTGAGTCTGGTCAAAAAGCAGCGATTCTCGACCATTACAGTATGCTCAAAAACAGTACTGTAATGGGTGAAACTGAATGGTGCAAAATGAAATAACTATGGACATACCTGATATTCTCTTGCTTTTTCCGCAGCATATGTGACTGGAGATGTGAATCGAACTTCTATCAAATTATTCTCCTGCAGAATATTAGTAACATGCGCTATATATTCCACAAATTGATTGTTTGTTTTTAATATCGATTGACCATTCAAAATGACTGTTGAAATGGTGTCGATACCGTTGAATCGCAGAAAAAGCCTTTTGTTGTTCTGAAAACGCAACGATCACATTCACAGAGATAGATTGTTGAGCGAGATGATACCTTCAAGATTTCTTTGGGAACCGCGAAAGACTTTGTATATGTCCAATTTTCTAGAGCTATCCATCGCATATTTAGATGGTTGTCGCCATAGAGCGGATCAGGAATGATACCAAGGCGATACAAATCGGTAAAGATGTCGCCAGGCACAATACCTGAAAGTAATCGCTTTAATCATAGATTAGCAATGAATAAATTACAGTCATCAGTTTTGAGAGTTACCTACATGAGTCATGAATGGTAACTACCCTAATTTCACGCGTATAAAGCGCGGGGGATTTTTTTTTCTAAAATCGACCAGCCCAGACACGCCAATGGACTTTACAACCAAAGGACCCTATAACGTGCTGTATATTGCTTGAGAGAATCGTGCGATGTAAGAATTTCTTTCCGGAATACAGTGAAGCGGCTGAGCGGTTCGCTTGCAAAATCAAAAAAGTGCTCCTTATACGCGTGAAATTAGGGCAGTTTACATTTTGAACAACCCTGAAGATTTCTGAAAATTTTTGAAATTCAGATCGGGCTCGTAAAAAATTTTTTTCCGGTGTGGCTGCCTATAGGCCCCCTTTTTTTGAAAAATCCCAAAAAAATTCTTCGAAGTACCTGAATGAGGCCACGCACCTTCATTTGAAAAAATTTCTGTCCCCCCCCCCCCCCACTCCCACGGGAATCCTGCGACCGCAACTGCTGTTTAGTGAAGTGTTTTCTCTTACATCAAATCATGACAAAAAATGCTCAAGGCTCTATTAGGAGCAAAACTTCAGATTTAACTAATTCCACTTTTTTTTCTTCTTGTAAAAATTGTAATGACATACTTGGTTCTATCGTTGAAGTCCATGAAAAAAATTTAGCATGATTTTTTATTTAAGAGAAGATGTTTCGTTTTTCTTAGTTTATTCTTCAGCGAAGGTAAATTTCGGAAGTCATTTGATTTTCTTTCTTCCAAAACAATTAAAAGCCACTGGATAAACAGATTACAAGTCATTCTTCCATGACATAGTTCAATTCTATTGTCTCCTAATTAATAACAAAAAAAAGGAGAGAATAAGCTTTTGAAAATTTTAAAATGTTAGTCATCCCGAAAATTCGTTCGCACAGTTTTCAAAAATTCATAACTTCTAGTTTTTCTGACCGATTCAATTGCTTTTATTTTTATATGAAAGAGTAAGTCGTGCTCTCTATAATGGTATCTTAGCCGTTTACCAATGTTCATTTGTCGCATAGGTAGGAGCGGTAGAAGAATTTTATTCAAATCTTGAATTTTCTGTGTATGGTCATAAAAGTCGGAACCTTGCAACGAAAATCGGAGCAGTCGGTATTGTAGGTTTTGTTACTTGTTCTTTCTGAATGTGCAAAGTTTGTGCTGATTGAACAATTCTACGAAAACTTATGATTTTCGAGCAATTTGTACAAAAAGGCAATCTTGACCTATTTTGGCATTTTTCTCGAAGCTTATAACATTTGATAGTGGCATTAAATTACCACAAACTTTGTAAAGTTAGCATCCGTCATACTTGATCCTCTTGATCCGCTTAATCCACTTGACCCGCTTGATCCGCTTGATCCGCTTAATCCGCTTGTGTAAAACGCGCGCACTCGACAGTCTGTCATTTGGCGTCACGTACAGCGAATTTGCTTAAATATATGAGATTGCTTTTTACCTACGCGGCGCCAAATGACACACTGCTGCTTGCGCGCGTTTTACACGAAGCGGATTGAGCGGATCAAGCGGATCAAGCGGATCAAGTGGATTAAGCGGATCAAGAGGATCAAGTATGGCGGGTGCCTTAGGGCAGCTGATAGAACCTATAACACCAAGTGCTCCGATTTTTATTGCAAGTTTCGGATTCTTTATTGACCTACACGGAAAATTCAAAGCTTGAGTAATTTTCTTCTACTGCTCCTATCTATGCGACAGATAAACAATGGTAACTATCTAAGATATCATTATAAAGAGCATGATTTGCACTTCCACACAAAAATAAAAGCAGTTGAATTGGTTAAAATCAGAAATTATAAATTTTTGAAAATGGTGTGAACGAACTTTCGAGACGACCTAATAAAGAATTTTAAAAAATGAATGGATTAACTCACCGGTGCCATTGATAGTTTTATTCGAGTTGTAAAATTGCCATTCTCCATGTAACAATGTGGTTTCGAAACCTAGCACCACTACCGATTGGTGTAGAAGAAAGGTGAGAAGAAAAGCTAGAGCAGCATCCATTGCGCATTTAGATGACAGTTGACCATATCTCATAGTGCAGGACATCTGATAAGAAGAGCCAGTGCTGGAAACAGCAATCGGGTCATTGGGAAGTCGGTGAGTAACAAATCGTTGCGACGCTGCCATCGATCTTGCGTTGTCGATGGTTCGTTTAGTTGATTTATACGAACATTCCGAAACACTTGTTCGGAAAAGAACAGGTGCTGTGATTTTTCGATCAAATCGCCAGTAAATTACATATCCCTGCTATGCAGCAAAGCTTGTATCAACTAGTCCAACCGCTTTTACTTAGACAATTGCAAATGAATTACGGAGAAAACTGAACTTCTAAAACTTCGGGGAGGACGCTCCTATTGGACCATGTGGGTGGGCCCTGCCCTTTCTGGTCCCGCCCTACCTGGCAGCTGCAATAGGAGTGTCCCTCGAATGTTTTAGAACTTCAGTCTTCCGCGGAAGTCATTTGCGATTGTCTGAGTAAAAACCACAAACTCAGTACTCAAAATTTGAATAATTATAAACCATCACGCCAGATACGTTTGTATTGGGATCACTGTAAGATTTTGGTAAGGAATACCCGCTTATTTGACAAAAAAAACCAAATTTTCTCACTGAAGATGGAACTTCCAGATAAGGCTTGTGAAAATTAGAAACAGAGTCACTTAGGATGCATGATATTTTTTCATCAAAATCTTATGTTTGATGAGCAAGGTAGAATGTGAAACCGAAAAAAATGATTTTGCGAATCCTTCCCTCTTAAGGGCCGGGCATACTTTAGGCCCCGGGCAGACTTCACGCGATTTGATCGTCGCGACTGAGTCGCGACGAGACAGCTGTTACAACATCATTCCATACCGATCAACTTGCATTCGGTTGTGATACTTTTCCAGCCCGAAATTTTTGAATGTGAAATGAAAATGAATGGAAATCTTGGCGATTAGATCGCGACGATTAAGTCGCGTGAAGTCTGTCCGGGGCCTTACGCGATTTGATCGTCGCGACTGAATCGCGACGAGACAACTGTTACAACATCATTCCATGCCGATCAACTTGCATTTCGGTTGTGATACTCTTCCAGCCCGAAATTTTTGACTGTGAAATGAAAATGAATGGAAATGTCGGCGATTGAGTCGCGACGATCAAATCGCGTGAAGTCTGTCCGGGAGCCTTAAGGGCCGGGCATACTTTACGCGATTTCATCGCGACGCGATTTGGCAATTCGCCGAAGTCTTTAGATCCAACACTAGCAAACTGCATATGCATAATGTGTGTAACTCAAGGATTGATGTGAAATGCCCTATCTTCTGTACATTTAGAGTATGCTTACAGTGTGTTGATGATTTCTGTATCATCAACCTTGATGAGCTCTATATTCTAGATAGCCTACGTAGACTAAATCGTAAGCTACTCACTCGTATCTAATCACTCAAGAGTGAGGGTACCTGTGCGCCAGGAGTGTAGTCAATCGGCGGCATCTCCCTTTAAGCACCAACTCGTATACTTTGTACCTGTGTTCGATTTAGCTCCGCCTTTCTTCGTATATAAGGAGCCTCCGAAAGTATTAGAGGTTCCTCCCCGGTTAACACCGGGACGCCTCGATCGCTCTCAGCTAATCTACGTCAGTGTGAATAAATACTCCACACCACTTCGTCCACCCCACTTCACTTGGTACACACCAAACAGTGAGTTGTGGACAGTTGGAATACTGCCAAATCGCGTCGCGACTGATTGCATGAAGTATGCCTGGCCGTTTATTCCTCGATGACGGGAATTTTATGATAAGTGATTTGCTAGAGTTTTCCCTAACCTTACATAAAAACTATGAAAAACTCGTCCAAATATTAATCGAAGACGTTTTATTTTATACATTTCTCACTACCCATAACTCTAGATACTGATTTGATTGGGTGAAAAATTTTGAATTATTGATGTTACATATATTTTATAACTATATCCGGTTTGTTTATCCTATAAAAGTGTTTTGCGTGACTTGAATCTTTCCTCCGAGCATTGCTAGCAAACAGATGATTTACTTTGATCAAAAGATCTTGAAACAACTCCCTCAAAGATGAAAAATTCCTAGATCCTCGAAAAATTTGGTGCAGGTATATTTTGGACAACTTACTGACTGAATTTAGCAGAGTCAAGGGAAATCCGCATTTCGAACCAACATGACAAAAATTATTATCCCGCAAGATACAGGAATTTTCAATTGTTCAGAAAGTCAGTCGAAAAGAAAACTCGCAAGTAAGATAGACTGAGCCTCTAATGCAATCATGGTTTCTATGTGGCAACTACAATTTCTTACAAAAGCTTTATTTAAATCTTCAATATTTAGTGCGGTTGTTGAGATTTATTGGAAGTGATCTGTCGGTAGATACGCATAACATGAGGTAAGAAGTGTCTCGAGGAGATGAAAAAAGACGACTAAAAAATAGTAATCTGGATGATGCACAAAGAATTTACAAGCAGGATAATGGTGGATAGTAAAGAATAGTTTTGGTTCAGTATACTTTAAAAATAGTTCTGGTTCATTATACTACTGAGAACAATGGATCATATAGAGCTTTCGTCATCTGTGTCATCAGCCGTCAGATAGACGCGAGGCACTCGCTCCAGATTCACCAACGACTGACGAGCCGAGAGTACACGATTCGCATCGCATTCCAGCTTGGCAGCCTGTATTTTTTGTAATTAGTAAAACAATATCAGGACTATTATTAGAATTTAGTTTATGTTCAAATGCAGAGTTGATTTACCTCGTGACTAAGCGTTCTAAGATTGTTGACAGTTGTGTACTGCATCGAACAAAGATCAGCAAGACACATTTCACGAGTGATGTTCCTCTTTTGGATTTCGCGTTTTAGGTTGCCCATCTAAAAGCGGATGTGAAATTATTACAACATTACAAGACGTCACGACCAACTCTCAAGATGACGACATAATGAAAAAAGTGATCTAGAAAAAAAGGGGAAAGAGTAAGTACCACAACTGATAAAAACTATGGTCGCAATTTTTGCTATTGTCAGATAAATCGTTCAAAGATATCAAAGCAACGTTAGATTCAATTCTATGAAACCATATGATACCACCTGCTGCAAACAAATTACTCAAAGAACAAAAAAATTTCTATGCAATCAAAAAATCCACAATCCTTCTACTAACTAACGAACCAAAAGAAAAAACAAAAGTTCAGCTTACCTCTTCTGTGCGTATTTTATTCAAATAAAGCTGTGCAGCCAGCTGTCCAGTGGCTTCGTCCATTTGTTGCCGCATTGCTTCGACATCGTTTTGCAGTTCCGAACTATTTCGTTCTGCCTGAAAACTTCTATTTTTACAAAATTCAGCACTGTCTTCTACACAACTCTGATTACCTTCTTTCTCGCCTTTCGCTCCAAATCCACTTCTTCCTCCAGTTCTGCGATGCGCGTGATGAGCTTTCGGATGTTGTCTTTTAGCTTGTCGACCAGGTTGGCATCATTCTCAGCACGGCGTTTCAAATGACCGATATCTTCTTCTCTTCTATAATGATGTCATGGAGCAAACTGCATAGAGATCACTTTTTTTAGATTGCACATGATACAAAAAATCAAAAAAATGCCCACTTGGTTAAAAACATTAAAAAAAAACTACTGAAAAAATCACTCTTCATTTACCAGCTGTCAAAAATTCTTTTGCGCCGCCATTACGTAAGTACTTTGTCCAAGAACATTGACTGCTTTGACCTCACCTTTTACAGTCTACATCCAAGGTATGTTTCTCGCTTTGTAGAAGTGCCAGCTTTTCACTGAGCGATTTCACGTGTTGTTCCCATTTTTTGTTAGCTGCAAAAGTTGTGAAAATAAAGACAAAATATTTCAGGTAGTCCTTAGAATGGTTAAGCTCTGCCCACCTCTGGCTAGCTCATCTTTTTGTCTAGTTTCAGCTGCAAGCTTCTCTTCGAAACATTCCAAATCCTCTTTCAATTCGTTCCTTTGGTTTGCAATCTTTTCGAAGCGCTCTTTCAACATCCCTAATTGCGTCGTCAGTTCGGTGTTAGCAGACTCCTGACCAAATTTGAGCGTTGCAGATCTTTGTAGTTTGCTTTCAAATTGACGTACCTGTGCTTTTCTTTGACTGATCAGCTTTTGATTCTCATCCTGCTGCAATTTCAGCTCATTCGTGAGTCGCTCGGCCAACTGCTTGGATCTTGTAGCTTCTGCTTCTGCTTCAACTGTCAGTCTTTTCTCCTGAATTTCAAAAATCAGACAGAATGCGATACTTGGCAGCGTGAAGATGTAAGTGAAAATAACGATTTTTTAACGCAGAATCAACGGGAGATAGTTTACAGCTTTTTCAAACAAAAAATTTTGAGATTGCAAAATATCTACAAATATCTACTCATTCACGCTTAATTCGACCAAGAGAATAATTTGACTAGTGTTGATAATTCAATAGAAAACCAGAATACGATGAATACTTCCTACCTTTTCTCCCCATTCTTTTGCTTCTTTTGCCTTCTCTTTCTCTAGCTCCTTCAGTTTACGTGATGTCTCATCAAATTTATCTGCTTCTGCTTTCATAGATTTATGAAGCTCCTGCGAAGAATCAAACCTAAGGGCTAAACTTTTATTATGAGAACTTCCACCAACTTCAATTTCCGCGTTCCTTTTTTCCATGAGCATTCGTTCTCGTTCCAGAGCAGCTCGACTTTCTTCATATTGTTCAGTTTTCACTCGCAACTCATCTTCATACTTCTTACGCTGCTGTTCCTCAGCCGAAGATAGCTCTTCTAACTCCTAAAATTGCTTTTCAGAGTAAACAAAGTCTAAGCGGCAGACTCGAGTTACCTTGACTTTTCTTTCCAGAGCTTCAACTTCTGCATTCGACTTCATTCCTTTGAGCATAGGCTTTAGTCGAGTGAATAGTCTATACCACGGCCACAATCTAAAACAGTCAAGCAAATTTTAGGGAAAAAATGAAGGACATGAAGATGGTTAGTAATAGTTTTGAGGGTAATGATGAAAATAATAGGACCTCACCTCAATGTAGTCCACTGTCTCACGTTCTCCTGTATTATTAAGTAAGCTGCTTCTTGTTTCAGTAAATCCTGGTAGTGACACTAAAAAACCACATGACTGCTGTTATTATTCAAGAAGGAGGATCAAATTCTGTCAATGCAGCATTACTCCTCCCCCTTGCCAAAAGTACTACTACTATCATTGATAATCAACAGATACTACAATCGATAAGAACGAGAAGTTGAGGAGATGCGCGAGTGCTTGTGCTTGGATCTCACGTTCTTCACACCGAAAACAAACAAAAAAGAAAGTGAAAGCTAGTCTGAGCTACTGGTGGATATGTTTTGCTCAGGTGCAAATAGCCAACGAGATAAAAAGCATACTTGAGGTGGTTGCTTGCTTTTTCGCTTCCCTTCTCAAAAAATTGCTAACTCCTTGAGTAAGATAAATATTACATCTATACCCGCGCTGTTTACTGTAGCAACTTCCCGCAGCTCTTATCAATGCTCGTATACAAGAACATGGAGTACAGGCCAAGAATAACATGATAATCAAAAATAACAAAGAAAATTTGCAGTTCAAATTTCCATTCCAAAATTTTGGATTTCATCAACAAACCTGAGCCAGATAACATCGCAGCGCACATTGGAACTTGACAATAATTTTTGCCAGGGCTGCATCACGCAGTTCTTCCATTTTGGCAACGACTCCAGCACGGAAAAACACCTGAAGCATAAAAATGACAGTGTAACCTTACCGAGTGCAGCGCTTTACCTTGGTCGTGCCAACTCTGAATTTATCCTCCACGATCTTGTTTTCATTAACAAGTCTTTCGAGCATTTTCTTCGATGCCTAAAACAAATCATTATTTTTTGATGAATATTAAAGAAAGGAAAAAAATGGGTGTGATCAAATCCGACACGGGGGATACCATGACTTCAGACCTTGACAAAGCTGAAGGTTTTGCTGATGGCTTTGAAAGAGTTTTTGAACAGGATTCAGTACACATTGATACAAGTTCCTTGCCACCTGACTATGCGGAGATGAAAGATATACGATATTTCAATGACTTTGAAATCTTTGAGGTGCTTCGGAAGTGGCCTCCATCTAGGTCGCTCACACCGGATGGCATTCCGCTGCATTTCATCAAAGCGGCGGCCCATGTAATCTCTAAACCACTCCAATACATATTCAATTTGAGCTTAATGAAATCTGAAATTCCTGAACGATGGAAGATCTCTTTCGTAACTCCTATACCAAAGAAGAAACCCTATACATGCCTATCCAATTATCGACCTGTGAGCATAACATCGATTTTTTCGAGACTTTTTGAAAAACTAATCAAAAAACAGATAGTTAATCATCTACAAAAACAAAATATAATTCCCACTGCCCAACATGGTTTCCAAGAGGGCAGATCCACCGTTACTTGTATGTTGTATGCGCTAAATGATTGGACCCATTCGTTGGATTCTGGGCAAAGTATTCATGTTGTTTATCTTGATTTCACGAAAGCTTTTGACAAGGTTTCACATAAAAAACTTGCAATCAAACTCAAACAAGTTGGTATCCATCCTATTTTTGTTTCCTGGATCTCCGCTTTTTTATCCAATCGCAAATTTTCGGTTCACGTTAATAAGACGTTCTCTCGCTTCAGAATGATGTCTAGTGGCGTGCCGCAGGGAGGCGTACTATCTCCAATACTCTTTAACATCTATACTCATGAACTTCCTGCTCTTGTTTCCAGAGCAGGAGTGTCCTGTTGTAGTTTTGCTGATGATTTCAAAATCTATAAAACAATCACAACAATGGCAGATAAGGCTACGCTGCAAGAAGCTCTAAATATCGTTTTTGAATGGTCGAAAACATGGAACTTGCCAATCTCTCGTGAAAAAACAAAAGTTCTACACATTGGACCTGAAGATTTGGACTATCAGTATCAAATAGAAGGAGAAATTCTGGAGTACGTTGATGAGATTCGAGATCTCGGCTTTCTGGTCTGTAGCGATCTCAGCTTTGATAAACATTGTGAAACTATTGCTGCGAAGGGCAATGCAGCCGTACACAACTTATTCCGTGCTTTATCAAGTAGTGATCCAGCCCTCCTTATCAGAGCTTATAAAGTCTACATTAGACCTCTACTTGAGTACGGCACGGTAGTATTCAATCCCACGAAAGTAAGCTCTATACGGACCCTTGAGAAAGTGCAGAATAGTTTTACTAGAAAACTATGGATCCGAACCAAAGGGCTTGACTATGATGAAATAGTTGATGGCAATCGGCGTAATAAAAACTTTGGATTAAATAGTTTAGCTTTCAGGAGAAGGGTATTTGACCTTATTACAGCACACAAAATCTTGTTTAAAGAGTATCAGGTCAATCCCTCGGACTTTTTCCAAATGAGGCGCTCAAGAACGAGAGGAGGGCCAATGAAGATAGTGGTCCCTAGAGCGAGAAGGAATGTGAGAAGAAGGTTTTTCGTTAATAGAGTATGCAGTGATCTTGATAAACTAATGAGGAAGGGAATGCTCCATTATAAGCTTTCACAGTTCAAAGCAGTCCTGAAGAACTATCTACTTTCTCCATGAATCTGCAGTAGGATGTTTTGATATGTTATTGTTACTAACACTTTTGGTTCATTGTCATTCGAATATTTTGTTGATATTGCTGTTTTGTTCTTTTTTTTTGTTGATATTGCTGTTTTGTCAACATAGGGTAGCCTATGTAATAAATAATAATAATAATATTTACGTGAGTGCGCTGAGCCACCCACCTCAGCTGGGTCACTTTCAGCTGCCTGGTCGGCTGCCAGTATAGCGTAGCGGAAGCGGAAATCCGCGAAAGTCATCCGGTTCGGAAAACCTTTACGACAGATTCGAATCCCTTCCAGGACACCATTGCAAGTGAGCTAGATACAATCACTTCAAAAACACTTGCTGAGTGGAAAACTCAAAAATACCATACCTGATTCAAAACTAACGGTGCATCTATCAGCCCACTAGTCTTTTTCTCATTGGGGATTATACACCTGCAATAATAACTGATATTCAATGTGTTTAGAAAAGTTTATGTGTAAAAAAACATCTACAAACGTAGTGAAAAGAGAAGGAAAGATTGTAACGAAGCAGCTAACAATAAGAAAGAAAACTTACGCAAGTATGTTGCAGTGTGCAGATACCATTCACGCATGATTTTCGCATGAAGCATTTGGATAGCAGGGGGGGGGGGAATAAGATGAGGGAAACAAATTTGACAACTACATTTACAAGCTCCTCTCCACCTTCCCACCTTTCCCCTTTCTTCGTAAATTGTAAATTATAAGGAGATGAATTTTGAATTTTTTTACAGCAGGATAATCGCGATTCCTTTACTTGATGTGTAGCGTGTCTTACATAGGAGTGATTATTATATTTAACTATACTAAACACACTACATATCAGGATAAGGTTCACGATTTCTTTGCTTGATGTGTCACTATTAGGGCAACTTTTACTGGGAGCTCACAGCACGTCGCTATGAACGTTTATTGCAAGACTGGCTTTATATCAGGATAAGGTTCGCAATTCCTTCACCTGATATGTAGCGGTGTCTTACATAAGAGTGTTTATTATATTTATTATATATATATAGAAATAAAGGCGCTCCCTGTCAGGATAAGGGTTAGCTATTCCCTTACCTGAGGTGTAACTGGGAGCTCACAACACGTCGCTACACCATCAGGTAAGGGTCGCGATTCCCTTACCTGATGGTGTAGCGGTGTCTTACATAAGAGTGATTATTATATTTATTATATATACTGAAAACTGACGCTACATGTCAGGATAAGGTTCGCGATTCCCTTACCTGGTGTGTAGCGGTGTCTTACATAAGAGTAATTATTATATTTGTTATATACCATACGACGCTTCACGTCAGGGGAGTTGCAATTCTCGTACCTGATGTGTAGCGGTGTATTACATAGGGGTTATTATTGTATTTATTATATATATATATTAAGATAAAGAGAGGGAAAGGTGGGGGAAAGGGGGCAGCTATGCTGCACGGAGTAAAGGGCACTGCCGTGGCAGTTGTTGACCCGAGCGACGGCTGACTTCGCATGTGGACAGTTGTTGTAAACTTCTGCTGCTGGCTCCCTACATTACACTACAGGCAGCGCTAGGCCTTTCCATCTTGAATCTTTATTTACTCTTTCGTGTATTCGATTAAATTCACGTCGAATGAACCGCGAACGAGAAAAAAACGAAGTTAGCCAAAGTTTCTAGGATTTTTTGTCTGCATTATACTGATGCTTGCAAATGTTCAGTAACTGTAATCGCTACTTTGATCCAAAACCACTCTGATGCGAGTTTGAGATATTTGGCCCTCTGATGCTATTTGGCATTGGAAAAGACGAGCCTTCGGAAAAAAATTCACTTTTTTAAGACTCTACACGTTATGTAGCTCGAAAATCTATTTCAGTCATTTGCAATTAGACAAGTTACTTTGGCATTTTTATAGTTCATTCAAACCACAAGTTTTCGCGGTTCACTGGGTGGAGTCGACCCTTTCGACTTAGTGTCCCCCTTCCCTTTTTGTTTTAAGTACAACAAAAATATAGACCATAAACACCAAGGATGATTCGAAAAAATAGTATAGTAATTCATGATAATGTCTATGGAAGCGAAACCTTATTCTTGAATGTATTAGAATTCAACGAACCTGATAAAGTGCGGATGTGTTGTATGCAACATACTCATAAGACTATTAAGTGACTCTCGATACATGGTGGATACAGTAAGGAAAGAAGCTGACTTTCCCTTTTTACGATCCTGGGTCTTGCCTGCAAAGAGCAATGAGAGAATTTTATGCTCATTAGGTTTTTCAAAGCACAAGCAAAGTCAAATAAGGACTATTGCAAACCTCTTGCAGTCATCTCCTCTCTATCAACATCTGTGATATAGTCTTCCCAAATTTGGTAGATCAGTCCTTGTTTGTCGCTGGTTTTAAGTACAGCCACGGCCGAAGTATTTAGTGGATCCTAGGGGAAAAAACGAAAAATAATTGTGTACTTGACCCAACTATTCTAGTATTGTTTGACAAGACTAGACTTCTTCAGTTCGAAAAAATACGGAGTAAATCCTTCTACGCACTCAAGTACTCCAAACTGCAAGAATTACTTTATTCTTCTCCAGCCACTGATCCGCATTGTACCGTACGTCGCCAGCATAGTGTGCGATAGCAAAATGTGCTATTCCTTGGTTTCCACGGGGTGGCTTTGCCTAAAACGGACTTTACTAGATTCATTCTAGAGTTTGTCTACTGTTATCTCTCACCTTTTGGAAATTAGGATGCTTCCCGGAATGCTGGTTTATGAGCTTCTCCACATACGTCGTGTCGCTTGCTTTCGGCACTAAACACTCCTCATCTAACATTGAGATGATTCCGAGAGGCTGCAAGATGGTTTTATATTTGATTCTGATCACGCCAAAAAATGTTGGAAAACAGGAAAGGATTACTGTGACGATAACAACCTTTTCGATCAAGTCGATACATGCTTGCAGATCCAATCCAAAGTCGATGAATTCCCACTGAATTCCTTCACGTTCGTACTCTTCTTGTTCTAGCACAAACATATGATGATTGAAGAACTGTTGCAGTTTCTCGTTGACAAAATTTATCCACAATTGTTCAAACGAGTTATTCTGCAATTTGCAGATACGAATTATTGTGAATGTAATCATAGCTGGAAGTCGGCGCAAATGCAATCCCATACATCGAATATCTCAAATCCAGCAATGTCCAAAACTCCAATGTAATTCGCTGATCCATCGAGATTTGCAGAAAGTGTTTGATTTACCCGTTTGATGATCCATGTAAACATGCGCGCGTAGATAGCTTTCGCCAGAGCACCAACTGCCCAATCAACCTATAGAAAAAAGCCTTATGACTGGAAACAAAGCGCATAACAAAAGACGAACCTGTTGCTTGTTCTGTCCCTTATTTACCCACTCAGTTCCGACCTTAATTTTTGGTTTGACCAGAGCACCAATGAATTGGTCAGGATCGATTCCAAACAACTTAGCTGTTTTCATTGGACCTAAATATACCGTAATCTCCAACTTCAACCAGAAAATGAGAAAGTGAAGCACAAGACCTCAATTTTTTTTCAAACTAGTCGGCCACATTTCAAAAAGATACGCTCATATTGTCGTCCAAAACTTCTACGGATTGAATATCCTAATTTTCCACGCTTACCAAATTACAAACGCATCTAATGACAGCCGTCTGTCAACTTTGGGTAAACAACAGAAAAAAGAGCTCAACGTACTATCCATACTGTCCACCTCAGCCTGTTCTTCTCGCGGTTTTTGCCTGAAGGCGAAACGAGACATGTGCATTATGGCAGCACATGTCTTGTATAGATCATGCTTTTCACGATCTGTGAAATGCATAACATCGAAAGCGTTCTGAAAAAAAGCACACTTCATGGGCGAAATATTCGCGAAATTTTTGAAAAATATTATATGGGTTATATAAATGCGCAAGTTTATTCTTGTAAACAACAAAATAATTCCATATGTCCTCTTATCTTGAAACCATCCTGGGACCGCCACTGCGAGAAATCTGTAGCTGCATTGAGCTTATGAGCAACTCGTTAGTTTCGAATTTACTACTCAGTTAGAACTCTAAGGAAATAAAGACTAACATCAGTTATGCGGAACTCTTCCTTGTCATCCATTCCCGGAACAGTTATCTCTGCTTGAGATACAAACTTGTACTGGCGAATATCATCTCCCAATTGCAAAACATCTTAAACAATTGAACATGAACGTGCATTTTTAGGTATTATGTGAGTAACTAATCATCTTTAATTTTCTTCGTGTTGGATAAAAAAAACTACATATGGAAGATGTCCAGATGAATATTGATGAATAATGAAAAAGCTGAGATGTAAATGGCAAACTTCACCTCTTAGTTTCTTTTGCGTGAAAATTTGGTAGAAAATGTGGTATGATCGTTCTCCAGGTGCCTGTTTGATGACTCTTGACTTTTCCAGCAGATCTGGAAAGATATACGTAAAAAAGCTTGAAGTATAAGCAAGTAAGGCGGAAGGAAACGGAAGCAATAAAGAAAAAAGTTCGCATCACTTTGCTGGACAAACAATGGACCAGAAAAAATTAAAGAAAACTGTGCTTACAGTGCTCAATATCGCCTCCAACTAGCTTTCCACGCTTGTCAAAGTGGATACGGATAAATTTCCCGTATCGCGAAGAGTTGTAGTTTCTAAAAAAGTTTGGAAAACTTCAACCAGTCTTCTCAGCCATCACGAAGTCCAAAGCTGCATATCGTACCTAACAGTCGCACCATTTCCAAACGCCTCGATCGCCGGATTGGCTTGCACTACTTGATTTTCAAGCGATGCTTCCTAAAAGATACCATGATATTCGAAATGCTTGATATTTTTTATGCTTTTCCACATGCAGCCATCAAAGATTAACGATAGACAGACGGTTGACCCATTATCAACGCAAAAAAAGTCGGCTGCCTCAAGCATCATCCGCCAGCTATGAAATCACCTATTACCCCCACTTTCCTGTATCGCAATATGCCGATCTCAATACTTGAAATGCAAAAAGACAGCAGAGGCGAATCTCTTGAAATTTTCGCCGACATGTTTGCTCTGACCTATGTTTGTTTCTGGCGCGGTACCGATGGAATACCGCGCTCAGGATAGAGAAGAGCGTAGGTTGGAGGAATGAGCTCAAGCACGTGGTGCTGTTCTTCTTGAAAGTGTTCTTATAATGAGAAGCAAGATGTCAAGAGAGACACTTTTAACTTGCAGTCAGCTTGATTCCTCACGTGATTAGTAAAACTTTATGCAGATGACATGGACCAGATACATAGTGTGAGTTCAAATAGCCATCAATGCACCTCAAGGACCCAAAACCAACGAAAAGGATAATTACTCCTCTAAAAAACTATGCAAGTAAAAAAGGACCCGCTAAAATGAGATCAAAAGAGCGCCAAAGCAAGAAAACTAAAACGTACTCCAAGATCCTTGAACTTGACAGTCTTTTGAGCTGTAGAGACTTCTTTTTTCCCTCCGATGTTAGCAAAGTAAGCTATAACTTTCTTCGTATTCTCTGTTTTTCCTGCACCAGATTCACCCGTAATCAACATCGATTGATTCTCGTGGTCTAAAACATGAGCACATAAGAAAAAAGAACGCGAAAGAAAGGGTACGAAAGAGAATCACCTGTCATCATATTTCTATAAGCCTCATCTGCAACTGCAAACAGATGCGGTGGCATTTCTGTTCGTCGTTTGTTCACGTACATTGCTTGGACGGTATCCGAGTAGATGGGTAGCATTTTGTAAGGATTAATGAACACACAAAAGAGGCCCGAGTAAGTCTGAACACATCGCTAAGTGATTTTTCAAAGGAAACCTGTCAAATCACTCACGTAAATCATCATTTTAAAGTATCGCTGTCGTAGATTGTGCAGAACAGAGGCTTCGTTCAAAAAAGTTAAACTCGACATATCCTCAGCTTTTTCGAACTTTGCAGGGTTGATTTCTTGGCAGTCATCTTTTGTCAGTTTCTTCTGCAATACTCGCAATTTGTATGTTAACAGTACAATTTTAGGTTTATGCTTATTTGGTCAAATAAAAATAATAAAAAAAAACCAAACACTGCATGAATACTAAGTACTTCAGACTTCAAAGATACTTCAGACTCTAAATCTCAAATCATTCAGCCACCCACCATTGTTCCATCAGGCATCGTGAGGGTGTAGTTATTGCCCTCTTGAACACTGATAGCAGCCACAACAAAACCTTCGACAGGATCTGGTACCCATGTATGAGTTTTGTTATCGAAACGGCGAGCTGCCTGTTCCTGAAACAATTTTCTAGTGCTGCAAAGAAGAATCAAGTTCAGATTGTGTAAAATTGTTCTGATAAAAAAAGATAAACGCAGTCAGAAGTGGTTGTTACTGTAGCGTTGTACCCTGCATACTTAAGATTTTTGACTCGGGTAAGTTAGTTTTACAGAAACTTCAAACAAGTCCGCCTATAAATAAGTCTTTTTTCCATTATATGATCCTAAAATCTGTCAGATAAGTCCGAAAATTTTCAGAATGTCAGGACTTATCTAGAGACAGAATCTAGGGGGGCCCTATCTTTGAGATTATAGGGTAATTGTAAACCTCTGTAATATTTATCAGCGATTAAGTCACATGCGCAACGAAAAAGGGCTAGAAAGTAGGCTACAAGTCTCCACACTAAGAAAACTGGACTGAGAGTCACGACATATCACAGGGTGAACAGAGCTTAAGTAAACCGAGCATACACATTGAAAGGAGTTGCACAAAAAGCGAACAGAACGGAAGAGAGTAGAAAAAGTGGAAGAAAACGAGGAAAAAACACAATGCTGAAGTATTACCTACCTGTAACTGCTCATCGTCGGCCTGCCGCAGGTACTTCCATCCCGGATCGAGCATATAGTCGATTTCTACCATGTCGACGCACTCGACCACTACACCACTCGGTCCTCTTTGCGGCAAAGCCTAGCCTCGACCGAAATCTCTCCAGGCGGCTCTCTGCGCCGAATGCACTCTTTTGACATCTGAAAACTAGCTCAGGCAACGTTTTGCTTTTCGATGGTCTCTCCACAGTACAAACCACTTCTAACAATCACTTAATGAGCGATATGAGAGGAAGCCCACCAGGATGATGGCTACGCCCTAACACTTTCTTTCTGAAGTACTTCAATCAACACATGATACGTCACCTCTCTTCTGCATAGCTTCAAACATTGTTTGCACACCTTCGTTTATTTTGCTCGCATACTGTGTAACATCGGACTTTACAGGCTAGCGAGAGCTGATTAATCTTAATTCTGTAAATAGGTCTTCAAAATCCTTTGCCCCTTTCTCAAGATATGTAGATATGTTTGTTTGAGATCTAATTTTTAATTTATCCTTCTCCAGCGCTAAGTACTGAAATGTGCACTTTTATATCAGACAGCCCAGAACGATGTAAATAGGCCCGCTTTCATACAAGCTGGATAGTCAACTGCAAGATGTGTGCATACATACTGGGATTAATGGGAGGTTTCTGTGAATTCGCAACTCCTTTACTGCCCTTTTCAGTGGTGTGTGGTAGAGCACGTGTTGTTGAACAAAACCCATTTCCTACATAAATTCTCGGTTTTTATCCCGCCTGAGCACTTCACAACAACGCTGACACCTCTTGCCCCATTTCCGTGCATTCAGACTCGTGTATCGTACTACCCCAAACTCATGATTGGACTTCCCATCAGGGGCGGAATTTATCAAGGGAAGGGGTTTGAAGGTCACATAGCCCGTACGGGCGCGGGCACTGGCGCCGGCGATAGAAGCCAAGCTGATGATCGGACTCCTGCCTGTTTGAAGATATGGTCCGATCTAGCAAGTTTGGCCATGTTGGGCACGGCAGGTACCCGATCGCTCCCGATTTCGACAGGTCGGGCTCTGCTACCCATTTGGACCACGCTCCCCAGAAGCTTTTGCCTGTTCGGATACTCGCTAATAATGGCCCGAACAGCGAGTGGGAGATAAATACCGCCCCAGATAAGTCCGTCTGCAAATAAGTTCCTCACTTGTTTAAAAGTCTTTGGACTTATGACAAGATTCTAGGGTAGTTATAATGGAAAAAAGGACTTGGCTGTAGGGCGGAGTTATCTGAAGGGCTTTAGAGCGGACTTATCGGGTCAAAAAAGCGGACTTTTCTGCAAGATTTTAGGGTGCTTAAAAAGTATGTACTATATTAGAGCAAGACCTAACAATACATATTAAGAGACCTGAGTTGGGTTCTTTTTTTTTTAATGGGTTCCTTCTGTTCTTCTGTTACTCTATTTTGTTTAACTCCTGCGATTGAGACTGGCTGGGTTCTTGTTTTGTTCATAGTTCCTTTGTCTATTTTTTCCTGTCATTTGAGGCGCACCATGAGTGTATTGAAAATAAAATAAATAAAATAAATAAGACCTAAATAAACCTTGTAGTTTTGTGAAAGCCGCCGCATAATTTTTGAGTCATCAAGCACTGAAGTTATTTTTAAGCGACAGAAGCTAACCTACTGCTTCTTCAACCTCTTATACATATAAAGGTAATTTTAAAATCCGCAAAAGCGCTTCCGATCCCAAATACTAAAGAAGAAATTTTTTGAGTTACATCGCAGTTTTGTACTTGACGCTTTTTCAAAAATAGCAAAAAAAAACGCAGCATTACATACTGGAAAAATTTGCGAAATAAAATAATAAACGGAAGCACGCTGTTACATAGTACCGATTTTCAACTTGATTATTCATCACCCGACAGCCAGCTGCAAACGAATGTTGGAATCAGCTGGAAACAACAATGCTCGATACTAATATACTAATATGTACGATAGATTACGACAGATACGATACAAGTCTGAAGTATCTTCGATAGGATCATAATAGTCAAAGCAGAACATCCCTTTCATTTATCTTTCGCTTCCCCTATCTCTCAAGTTTTTGGTACATGGCAAACATAATGGTTTAACCCAGCCTGAAGTAGCCATACACTCCCATTTGAAAATACATTTTAAAAAAAATGTCAGCAAAATGACATGTTCTTTTGCCAAACAAATGATTTAGAAGCCTTTCTCTGCCAAACTCCTTTAAATTTCTTTTGGCAGAATCCAAAATAGCAATGAATGCAGTCATATGCAGCAGAGAGATTAGAAATCAAGAGTACATAGTGACGAGTCCATGCATCCATAGCTTTTGCGTCTAGTACCTTGATTGCAGCATTCGTTATGTATTCTTCAAAATTATTTGCAAACTGATGAAAGCATGCTATCGCAAAAAGACACATTTCCAATTTCCTAGATCACTTGAAACGCAGCTAAAGCACCCAACACTTTCAAACTGATTTTCTACCCTCTAGAGCACTAGTATATGTACTGAATCATACAGAACCACGATAAAAATCAATTGCATGTATAGAAGTTTAAATAAATTCTGACCCCACTTGCAACGGGAGCCAACCCTCAATTGACTTTGGCAGTCACCTTGTTGTCAGCCATCGCTCCTTCAGTTTATCCTCAGCGGCCGAGGTGCACATCTGGACGAAATATGTGAGCGGCTATAAAAGAAACGATCGCAGGATGAATTGCTTCCCACGGATTATAAGTTGTGCGATAGCAGCCGCTGTGACTAGGCATCTCTAACCTACGACAACAGAGTTTGAAGACTTTTTTATGAATGTAATAATACGAATATGTGCAAAATAAAAAAATGCTGCAAATTCAAAGGCACTGGAGGCAAGATAACATACTAACGGTAAGGCAATACCTGAGCAACCAAACACAATATGAAATGACAAGTAAAATGACTATATATAAGAATATGTCGCAATGAGATATCAATCACATTTTCAAGCACCGCAAGTGCACCAAAACACCGTATCATTGCTGCCACTGTGGAAGCTCATTCGGCCCCAGTCCTGGATCCATGTAATCTGAAGACACATATTTGGTCTTTCATGTTTACAAGTTTCAAGATCTATCAGTTGTATAAAGCAGAGGAAATTATCAAAGCGAAATGATAACTTATATTACTTGCTTGCTAGCATTTCTTCCCTAGATTAGCTACATGTTCTCGCTTAAGCAAGTATCTAAATCTATCGGTGAATGTAGGTGACTGCAGTTCCGGCATTTGCCAACAGCATTTGCGCGTGAACTATTAACCACGCCTCGATGTCAGCAATTTTCGCGCCAAAATGACCACAAAGCGCACATTTTTTAGCTTTGTGCTCCCGAGGCATTTTGTTCAGGCGCAAATATTGTCAGCAAATCTCGACAACGCAGACATAAAATATAAGCACTTGTCAATACAACAAAATGTTTCCATGAAGCATTAAATGCTAAAAAGGAAAAAATATTGCATCTGAATAGCACTAACATTTCTAGGTAAAAACTTTTCTATTATTTGATTAGTCAAACCAGAACCTTCATCAGAATCGAAAAAAAGGAAAAAAATGTCTTCGATTTTCCTTTTGAGTTGCTCTTTCCTGACATAATCCTCATTTTGCGATATTGTGATTCTCAACTTATTCGTCTTGCGTAGTTCTAGTTTACGAAAACACGTCGATAAGGAAGGTATCGTATTACAGAATGGCATTCTTTGATGCGATCTTGTCAAAGGTCGTAAACACAGCAGGGTGATGGAGATATCATTACAGCAAAGTTCATCTAGGCGTCAATGACTCTTGTAAAGATTGCACAAGACATGGGTCCGAAATCAAATTAGTTGAAAAATCAAGTGTCAATTATACCTGCTTTCATAACGTAGCCACCCATATAGTAGTTCACATGTGGGATTGGACATGGCATTGGCGTTGACATACCCATCGGAGGCATTAACGCGGGTGTATCTGGATAACATCCTTCTTCATCTATACGTTTAAATATAGTAGGATATTAGATTACGAACAGAATACGTAGAAAACACTGGAAATGTGGAAGCATTACTCACTTATGGAGCTACTCTGCGTGAGACCGTGACTGCCTCTCCAGATGTTGAACGAGGTCTGAAGTCCATATCCACCTTTCTCATCAAATATATCAACACCAAATAATTTACAGTCGTCTCGTTTCATCTGTAATGTTTACAACCTTTAGTACAGTACAAGTACAAAAAGCAAAAACCAAACAAGACTGTCAGCGTGAACCCGTTCGTACCTGGTCCAAGAACCTGATGTAATCAGAAGCAATTCGTAATGTGTGAATTTTGCTCATCTTGTCCGACGGCATCGATGGAATGATTTTTCGAAGTATCGAAAAGGCATCATTGAGCTCCTGAAAAGGCATGAACGGTTTTATAGATTAGAAATAAATTTATGCTGCTGCAGTGTTAGCGATCGACTTGCGCTTTGAAATTGAATATCTAGAGAACGTTTGTTATTCCAGATTAGAAACCATTGTGGAAATTATTATAGTTACAAAATTCCATCGAAATTCCGAATTAAGGATCAAAAGTAGTCTGTGACTTTCCCAATTAAGAGAAAGAAAAGCTAGTAAACACAGAAGAAATCACACTTACGCATGTTCCCCGGAAATAAATGAGTATAAATCAAACAAGTTGCTTTTTCCAGGACAATACCGATTGTCAGAAATTGCTTCACCGGAAACAGAAGCGGTACTCATAATAAACGAATAACTAGGACGAATGACAGACATCAACAGATTATTAAGTACCAAAAGATTTCTTCAAATAGTGGAAGATGCCAATGTCCCCAGCTTCCACCAAGTAATGCTTCTTTTCCCATGCCGCATTTACAACACCGACAGCAGTAAAACAGCCATCTGGCGCACTTGGCTGGCGATTACCGTAAGCAAGCCGACAAAGTAAAGAGCTAAGGATGCCTTCAATGAATTAGAGAAGAAAGAAAAACAGAATCTTATGCTCATAAGCGAAACAAAGAATGAAATCAAGGTTGAAGAGATGCATCCCAGTTCTTTGCGCGTTTGTATCACGAAAATCTCAAGGTAATAGAATGAGCAAGGCACAAATAAACTTGCCTTATCTTCTGCGCTGAACTACAGCCAGAAAATAAAATGCGTCAAATAGCCGAGTGGTACCGCGACTGCAGACAAAATCGATCAATTGATCAAACGACCATGGAGCACGTTATCGTTCGAACGCGATTACTTCAGACAATTGACTGCAGCATATTTGCACTTACGGCACAATGAGAAGAATAAACTCGTGAATAAAACATCTTCTCGGCTCCTTCAAAAGCGGCAAGGGATAAGCGAAACGTCGCTGATGGAACACAAGGGGAAGCAAATGAGAATTCAAAAGTTTCTTTTTTGGTTTTTTTGGTACTAGACAGTCTCAAGACGAATTTGTGTCCCATTCTGAGCAAAGCTGTACAGCTCGGCTGGCGCCTCGGTAAGTAACAAACTAGCCTTTGTTCGTTGTCGTTCCCTCTTATTCGCGCAAACTCTCTGCAGTAAATTATCCTCCTCGTTCTTCACTGGTTTTCGTGGATTTTTTCGTTTCGGAGCCATGGTCAGCTATCTGGAAGTAGTTACGAGGTCAAAAATAGCATGAGTCGTTTTGAAGTTTCAGGTGAGAGAAATCTTGAGTTCAGCCATGGTGAACATTGTGCGGTGAGCAGTCCTCTAGTGATTTCGAAATCAAAGAAGCAAGCAATGCTGAAAACGCGGCGAAATTCGAAAGTGATGACAGCTCACACGGTAGCTTACGGTAACTCCAGTAAACCAGCTGATCGTGCCGATTCACACCTATCGAAATGGGGCATAATTATCTTTTTGGTGAATAGTAGATGGGTCCAAAACTTTTTGTCTTCTTCGACCGGATATCGAAACTCGCAGACCAGCGACTAATGGCCGATATGTTCAACGTAGCAGTTCCTTTCTTCTCTAGATTTTTTATTGAATTTTCAAATAGAAATCTATAAATTTTTGCTTTATTTCTTTTCCATCGATGCTCAGCATACATAAATTTTTGGCCGAAAGCCTTAGCACTTATTGTCAGCTAAATTACACAAGTGTTGCAGGTAAAACTTTGAGACTGCATAAGAAGCATTTGAATGATTATGCTTAAATTGGCCGTCAAGCTTTAACCATTCATAAGAATTAACTTTTACGTATTTTAGAGTGTGAATTGCTTTGTACCTAGTAGTGGAGTTCTGCTTCGAAAATTTTCTCTAAAAAATTGATCAAGGATGAAGAAAGATGCGTAGCTCCCAAATTCCTGTCTCTCATCAAAAAGGAAAGGCCAGCAAATACACCATCAGTAGAATTTCAGCAAAATAATAGTGGAAACTTTAACATTTGTTCTGCACTTTTTGAACAGAATGTGGTAAAGCTGCTTAACAGAAAGTGATAGAGCTGCTGAGAGGAATGAAAGCTTTACTGTACGACTTGACGCAGCCGATAACTATTCAATTATAAGAGGTTTGATGCTCGGGTGAAAAAAGATTGTAGTATGAACTACCAAGTATTGCCTGAAAATAATCAAGTGGCTACGTGTTGGCCTTAAATTAGACTAAGAATTGCCAAAAAATAAACTTTACGGTACACATTATCCAAATTTTATAGGAAACTCTAAATTTGGGTGTGAGGGCAATCCGACTTCCACTCTGTTTTATTTCACATATTTCCCGCACGTGAATGCAACAATTATAATATAACTAAATCAATCTAGCGAAACCAGCAGACCCATCATGGCTTAGAAAAATTACTTCACGATGGAAGAAGGGAAAATATCAAGCGCAGTGAAATCACTCCGTAACCACCAAATTACAACAAGCACTTCAGAATATCATTTGACAAGAACTTTAAAAAGTGTAGCTGCAGTAAGAATGTTGAAAATCTTGAAGTGTAGTTTCATGTTCAAAAAAAATAACATCGATGTGACAGAGGAGGATTTGTATCTATGATTCCAGATGGTCGAGTAATATTCGACGACGCTGATGATTTTTTGAGAAGCTTTGGAGATTTAACTCATCATGTTAGCAATTTAGTTATAGTCTGAGGTGCCGCGGTGCAGTTGAAGTTAACAGGTTTTGTGGCTCAAAAAAGCCACTACTTTGAGATCTGAACCTTACTTGACCGGGTTCGGTTCAAAAGGTAGTTTCTAATCAAATACAAGTGTACTGATATGTTTTCCATCGATAGTCACGCGGTCATTTGAAATCGTGGAGATTAAATACAGCAAAACTTCAAACTATTTTGTGAATATGTAGGATACAAAAATTTCTATAAAAGCGGTGAGCCATAAAATTCAGAAATCAATGAGACCAATTATCATACTAAAGTGCTCATAACAGCTTCTTTTGTAATAAACACACTAAACCGAACAAGATGACAAACTGTGCTCAATCTCAGCCGGCTACAGTATGCCAGGGGGCGGGGACCGAAAAGGCGCGCGCTGCGTGGCCGCAGCCACAGGCGCCCGCCTCCGCGTGATGGCTATTAGTGGGCTTTGTTTATTGATTGATGATATTGATACACGGCTCCATCGCAAGCAGAGTAGCTGAAATATGGGCTACACTTCGGTAAGGGGGACTCAGTCACAATCAACATGTCTTTGTGAGGATCCTAGCACACTTCTATAGACTTTGAGTCTGTTATCGAAAGTGTAGATCACGTTAGTTTCGCTAGTATGGTAAAATAGCTTTCTTAGCTATTGTGTGCAATTGCACACATTCCTGGGATTAGGTCGGCCACGCAAATAAGTATGGCTTTTCTCAATACTTCTTGGTTTGATCACATTTTGTGCACACCTTACTTGGAAATCACCGCCTCCTCTTTGACATCCCATAAATTGGTGCGATTGCACATATTAGGAAAAAAATTGCTTGACTGCGGTTACGTCCACACTTTGAAACAGTCTCTTTCGATTGACGCACTACTACATACAGTCCCATTTCAAATCGCTGTGATTTTTCAAATTTATTAACAATCTCTATAATTTATGAATATTTATCAAATCACACGCTTTTACTTCATACAAATGATTCAGAGAAATTTTTACCCGAAATTTGTTGAGAAGTATATGATTATGATGCGATAACGTCACATTTGTTTTGTAAATGTTAAAAGCTGAAATGATCATTCTACGCCGACAAGTTCCTACAATGTGTTACCGATTTTGGATTTTGCGAAATTCAGTTGGGGAAGAAACAGCAAAAAATTTGAAAATAGCCACTTTTGTTTCTTCAAGTCTGAGAGGACCTATGTTAAATTTCATTTCCTATCACTGAATGACAACTAGTTTAATATAATGTCCCTCAGCCCGAAGCCTCGTAGCTGTGTAATGGAGCTCTGCAGTTGCTGCCAAAATTTTTGAGTGAAAAACCTATGTCAAGCATACATATCAAAGACAGAATTTCTGTTCACAACGCGTGGGAGTGTGATGGTGCATTCTGCAGCTCGAATTACTGCCAACCAATGTTTGCATACATTTCTCTTTTTAATCATGGTTCTAGCGAAAAAGCGAAACACCGATGGGCCGATCACATAATGAGAAGAACGGACGATAGATGGACCTAAGAACATCTGAGTGGATTCCTCGCGAAGCCAAACGTCCTCGAGGAAGACCACCGACGAGATGGGCAGACGTGTTCGTGGAACGGATGGACCAGCTGAGAAATCAGCTGGATACGATTCTCGCCCCTGGAACTCGTGGACGCAGCCACCGACGACGACCAAGAAGATCGTGGATGTCCGAAGCGAGGGACAGCGATCAGTAGCAACTTCTGTACTGGGGCCCGCACGTCACGTGAGGACGGGCCATCTAAGTATCTAAGTAAGTATCATGGTTCTTGAGCAGCGTTCTTCATCCCATGTGATAGCGCCGTCAAAGTCTTGCCGGAACTCACTTAAGCATACCTCTCACTAGGCGATCGACGTTCTGGGCGGCGAAGGCACGGGGAACCCTGGACGCATAGGATGATTCTTGGAAAATTCAAGGGATTTCCATTCTAATACATTGCTGGTTCGAAAGAGCTAGATCGCTCTTTGTTCGAACCAGCAATGTATTAGGATGAAAATTTTTTGATAATGAAATCTGTCACATTCTCTCACAGAACATAAGACGTTATGTGGTGATAAAAAAGGGGTTTTTTGATCTAGCAAAAGGCTCTTGGGAGAATCCTCATTATGTCTTATGTGATGGGCGAGGTACAAATTACAAGACCCCTGAGCTGATAGACCTTTAAAGAAAGGTAGTTTTTTTTTCAACTACTCACGGTCTAGACTGATTCGCGATCTGAAACTTTGGCGACTAATCTGTCTGCATCAAAACTCCTATTAAGCCCCACCAATTCCATCACCTCCTATTATAGAGCACCGTTGCACTCCTGAGGCGGGTTCAAGGCTGCCCGTGTGCCGGGGCCGTGCCAACGAAGTCGTAGCGCCGTGCCGGAATTCACATGCCACCATTTATCGATCGGTCGTGATTGGCACGGGGCTAGCACGGTCAACTCCCAGTGCAGCTCAAGTTTCATTAAAAATAATTTGTGATAGGCATGGGAATCTCCCACGAAATCGATAACAATGATAACATTTTGAAGGAACTTATTGGAACATTTGCAGTGCACAAGACGACACAAACATTCAATTAATTTTCAACTAGCAAGGATTATATCGATTTATTACGAAAAGTAGAACAAACATATGATACAACAATATGACTAGTTCAATTTGAAAATCTCAATGCAAGAACTTGGGCATTACCAGTTTTAACGGCGAAAATCCTCGTAAAAGTCTCTAATTATAGCACTCAGTTCATGTATTACACTGCGGATAAAACTCAAAGAATAATGCTAACTGACGTCAGCGGGTCATAACATACTGAGATCACAAATAGAGGTTTTTGTAGTAAAAATTAGTCAACATTCTATGCTGTCAAGGAGATGTCCATTATTAGCGTAGCAATCACATAGGTCGATCCATCTTCATGAAGTAAATTGACCAGTATCTGGAACACAGATAAATCGGACATAAAAACCTTCGTCATAACTCTTCCTTTAGAAACCCGTCAATCCCCTTCCTTACCATTGAGGGAACGGCTGATTTTTACCAAATTCAACTTCGCCTTTAACATTTGCTCTGTTCTCATTTTTCATTTTTTCTCTATTTGAGATCTTTGTCATTTTTCCGTAGAAGGATATGACGGAAGCAGAATTCTTAATTAAGCAGTCTTCACATTACATGAAATGTCTATGAACACAAATGCTCCTTGAGAAAAATTTCTGTACGGCTATGAAAATTTCCGCGCGAGTTCGTTTTGCTTGATCTATCAATTAAAATGAATTACTACATAAGAATAAACAAAATAACTTTCTTGTCGTCACCTATTGTAAGTCAAAACACTCATAGTTCTTATAAGCACGATTTTTCACCAAATTACGGTAGTAAGATTACGGTAGATTTTAAGATTGCGGTAGTAACTTTGCATAGGATTTGCATCTTTTCGAGCATAACTCGCAGCGAAACGTCCCAAATCTGAACTGATTACGCTCTGCAGAATCGCTAAGGCTTTAAAAATTAAAATTTTCTATAAGATGGCATTTGAGTCAGTATAAAGACGAATGTTCTTTTTCAACTTTCCTGCAAATTTGATTACAACGTTTGAACAACTAATTTTTACAAAGTTGTTTGACAAAATCAAAGTGCGGGAACAATACTACACAAGTTTTCAGATTTCCTCCCGAGAGTTTTCCAAAATAGCCGCTAATTTACACTTTGACAACTTTTTCTGAAATTAAGAAATACTTACACAATGTTGAATATTAGAAACGACAACGGGAACATGATCATTGAGCACCGATCTACCTAAAAATAAACAATTTTTTGATTTTGTGCTGTCCTTCGTCATATTTCTTTTGCTTAAGTGAAAAAGTGGACTAATTTGTTTGCGTCTTTGCAGCAGTGAACGCGTTAGATGCGTCCGATGCTGCAATGCGGCGCTGAGCTGATACTCATTGTAGAAAGAGCGTACAGATGGCAGATACGCAGACACCTTGGGTTAGTAACTCATACATTTTGCAGAAAAATGCCTCGCGCTTATCGGGGTGCATTCAGAGTTGCCTGTGACAATGTTGTTCCTGCGTCGGAACTGTGCAAACAGAAGGAATTGCGCGATAAGCGATGCGTCCACGTGGAGATTCGGCGCAAAGCCGGTGCGGTGCTGGAACGGCGATGGTAAAGCGCCGACTAAAGACAACTCTGAACCAGGGTCAAGCGTGTTGATGCGATCCTGGACCCTCATTTACGATCCCCCCCCTTGAAGGTACCCATCCGTACGACCCCCCCCCCTCCCCCCCTCCACCCCCCTCCTTCGCCCTCCCCCATCTATCGCCTTACCTCCCCTGCCCACATTTCTCGCGGTAACCTGCATAAACGAATGTCAATCTCAAAAAACACCTGCGTGAGAACTTCAGTGAGGTTTCGGAAGCAGAATTTCTAGGCCAATGGGTGCGCCCAGCATCTCTAGCACATATACATACCTTCAATAATGTTTGAGATTCTGCAAGTTTACTTTTGAATTTTCCGGCATACTTCAGGCCAGCAAATCCGATTCCCGTATGCGACACAAATTTTTACACGAAGAACAAAATGACATTCTTGAACTACAAAAGATGTTTTCGACTAAGAAGCTCAGTTCTTACCTCTTCCACAGTTTTTTCTGCGAAAAAAACCACTTTAGCGCCGTCCAGAACGAAGTCAAAAACATGCATGAGCACGGTAGTTTGAAAATTCGTAACTAAGGCCAGGAAAAGACTGAGAGACTGCAATGAACAGATTCTGTAGCACAGTGCCCAGGCTATTCATAGAAAAAGTTTCAGCCCTTGAGGAGGAGTGAGCTCGAAAAAATTTAGATCAGGCTCTCGCAAATTTAGATGCGATCCTAAAAAGCAAAAACTGGGATTTTTGAGCTTAAAATTTTGTAACTTACCAGAGAAGTTATAAAACAGCCTAAAATTCATATGATGAAAACTAGAGGGATGGCCTCGTATTACAGCAAGTTTGCAGCTAACGAGCTTCAATAGCTCCGGAGAAATTTAGATCAGGCGCAGATACGACCCCCCTTTTCTCGTTTTTTGCTACCATACATAAAATCATAAGAAAATCCGCAGTTCATAAAATAGCACCAGATTTCGCACAGCAGTAGCAGGGCTTATCTAAAGTATGCATAAATTGTAGGGGCCGCATAAATGGCATTACAAAAAGATTTACGAATTATTGATTGTCATCGTTGATCTACATGTGCGCTTTTGTCGAGTGTGCGAGTCTTCAGTGAGCCTTCGGAAGCAGGATGTCTACACAATTCGGTACATTCAACATCTTTATCACACATACATGCCTTTAGTAGCATTGAGCTTCTGAAAGTGTTTCTTTTTTGGATTTTAGTCATGCCAGCAGGGTTCGATCCCCGTTTGAGACAATATTTTACGGGAGAAATAGCAATTCCCATAAAAAAAGAACAAGTCATAATCTTTCAAAAGTGCAGCAAATGAAGCGAATTTCTACGCTTGCAAATGTTTTCAAATTATTTTTCACTCGTTTTTATTTGATACATTGGTACACGGCATTCCATGAATTTATTGTTAAGAACATGTAATAATTACTTGCTATTTGATTTGCTTTCAATCGTACGGTTTTTTATCCAAACTACCCCCTCTTACGACCCCCCCCCCTCACCGTAGGTCCCTTTACGACCCCCCGTTGCGACAGTCGCATCACACGCTTGACCCTGCTCTGAACTCTTTGAAGTCGCGTATCTTAACGTATCGCTTTTGTTCTTTACAAATTTTGCAAACCTGCACTGATGTGACAGTCCAATCTCTATCCGGTGGACAGATCGCGTAGACGAGGCGTTGGACCACGTTCCAGAAGCACCCCAACTTCTTTTCCTCGTCATCAAACGAAAAGCTGTCACCTTCATCGGCCTGAATAGCAACTGCTCATCTCACACATCCAGCGGGCTGTTTCAAGCGCTCACACTCACAATGTCAGCTGTCTTGTTTTGATGTATCACAGAATTGGCTGTTTGTGCAAGTACCGTATTCTGCGTGCTTTTAGTTGGGGACTCGGCCGAATGTGAGTTGGCCTTGGTTATGATGGAGGGGACTTGTCGTTTTTTTATACCTTCTCCGTTTGCTCGTGTTTCTATATGCCGTCGGTTTTTCCTTAAGGCAATAGATCGTCGTTCTTTTCTTAAATTAATCAGAAGAATAAGCGACAGGATAGTTGCAAGAAACTGCGACAAACCGAATTTGGTTGAGCCAGTGACCAAGCACTTTGGAGCCAATTTGCCTTTCTCGTTCCCATCTGGAAATGTGCATGAGAATTTTTAAAAAATGAAACATTAAGAATAATACAATCCATTTCGCATCTCTCTTATTAGAAAACAAATGCAAGTATTATCATCCTAACGGAAGCGAATGACTTATCTTTGCGAAGCGGATGCGAAAGCAGCGTTCAAGCATTTCAATACTAGAGCTTTTGTCTGCCAGTGCGCCGCGTACGCGTCTTCGCTTTATGTGGACATCCGCCTTCGTTTGAAATTAGACTATACGCCCACTTGAGACTAACTTTATTTATAAGAATTTTGTTTACTCCAATCTAAAACAATCAACCCACCTATCATCCTTCTAACAACTGTTTTTCTCTTACTGAACCAGAGATTATATTATAGTTTTGATGCAAGCAAATAATTAGCTTGAAAACTTCCTCACCTGTTCAGTTGACAGACAATAGCTAATTCAACAAGTGTACAAAATATAAAAATCACAGAAAATATCATCCATACGTCAAGGCACTGAAATAAATAAATTGGGAGTTTTCAGTTTCAGGTTCGTATTTTTCTTACCTTGATATAGCTGACGCGTGGCAGGTGACGTAAAACGTTACCAAATTGGAAGGTGAGTGCCAGTAATGAAGAGACACCCAGTGTAATTCTGAAAGGAAAATTTGATTTTTTCGCAGCTTAGTGTAACTTTACTGTTTCTGCGTTCAACCGCCCCCCTCCCCCGCCCCCTTAATGGGACAGTTCGAGGCCCATGTCTCCAAAATTTCAATTGTGGCAAGGAAAGTAGTAGTGGTTGAGCCTTTTTTCCAGTTCATGTAATTTCATGACGTTTTTCTGTCCTCGACGCATAAAACGTAACAAGATGCCGTTGTAGTGTAAAGTCTAGCTTACTAAAATATGTTTTTGTGCGCATTCTATAGAATTTGACAAGATTTTGAGATTCTAAGCAGTCACATTCAGGATTAGAATTTCTTGATGGATGACACCCTCAAACTTCGCTCAAAGTCGTCCGATCCAATGCCGTAGCGCCGTGTCGGAGCTGTACCGCCAAAAGTTGATCGATTCAACGAAAGGTGTTTCCAATCGCTTCCACTCGGAGCTGACACGACGCTGGAACGGTGATGGCACGGCACCGCCACAGGAGACAAAAGTGTGAACGCAACCTCACCAATGATTTTGACAAGAGATGCCTACCTGGCAGAAACGGAGCGAACATCGAAGAAGAAGCCAACCCATGAACTTATGACTGTTAACGACGTAGGGAAATAAGATTGGAAGAGATAAAACCCGTAACGTCGTGCAAATGTGAATTTAACCTGGAAATTAACACCGCTCATAAATGTTTTTAGGGGAACGGAATTTATCTACCCGGAAAGGTATGCCGCTATGTAATTAGCAGGGGACATGAGAGGTCATGAACTGTCAGCAACGCTAATTTGCACCCGATTTGCACCGAAGACAAGCAGATTTTGCTCACGACAGATACGACATCATCCTACACTGTACGAAACCGGGATTTCACTTAAATATGAATTCAAAGTTCAGTGGTGAAATTAGTCCAACTAGGGTAAAAATTTGCATTTAGGGGTAATCTGCCATGTTGGTTCCAAATATGATGGTGGTTTTGCATGAAAGTGAAACCGAGCTTCGTGAAGGGATTAAAATCAATGTCAGTGACAATATTTGGCAAATCGGATTAAAAACTTGGATTTGCGGGTTTCTAAGGGCGATCTTTACGAATATGATAAAAGCAAATGTTTTATCATTTTTGAATCAAGTGATAATTCAGCTGCTCATTAAGGAAACCAATTGTAGTGTCCAGAAAAATTTAATAACGCACAGATTTTATTGATAGCTGGGAATCTTTTCCAATCCTCCAAACTTAGTATCAGCTTTTCATTGAATTTTTTCTTATCTTATTTCAAATTTTTTTAATTTCAGTTCATTTTTTCTAGTCTTTCTGAAAGTAGCATTTTTTTTTCATTTCTTTTCCAGTTTCATCAAAAATGCAGTGAAATTTTTGAAAAAGCCAAAATTTCAAAAGAAAAAGTTTTCAAAGTTTCCGACGAAAACATTAGCATACTTGAAAACAGCATCATGGAAAAGCCTCAAATGACAATTATAAGCTTTTTGCCAGATTTTGAAAACAAGATTGAAATACAAAAAGAAAAAATTTTGAGTTTTCACGCAAAACCACCATCATATTTGGAACCAGAATGGCAGATTACCCCTGAATACAAATTTTTACCGTAGTTGGGGTATTTTCACTACTGAACTTTGAGTTCATATTTAAGTGAAATCCCGGTTTCGTACAGTGTAGGATGATGTCGTATCTGTCGTGAGCAAAATCTGCTTGTCTTCGGTGCAAATTGGGTGCAAATCAGCGTTGCTGGCAATTCATGACCTCTCATGTCCCCTGCTAATTACATGGCGGCATGCCTCTCTGGGTAGATAAATTCCCGCACCCATGTTTTTACTATACATTTCAAAACCTTACCTTTGCTCGATCCCAGATGCCGTTGGGATACTCTAGTCGTTGATGATCAGTGGACCAGCCAATTAAATCAAAATCTGGTAGCTCAACCTGAAAGGGTTTCTCAGTCGGCCTGAATTCATTGCCAAAGCCAGCGCCATGCCAGTGCCGTGCCAGCTTCAACCTAGCGCGTGCCAGCGCCGTGCCGAACACCAACCGATCAGTTTTGGAAGCGCCTATTTGAGTTTCGACGCGCTAACAGCACCGACTGGCAGTGCCGTGTTAGCGCCGGTCAAGTGACACGGAGCTGGAACGGCATTGGCACGGCGCTGGCACCACCAATCCTGAAAGCGTTAGTGTGCCCCAAAGTCTTGACATTGCGTACCTTTTCCATCATAGTGATCGGCACATCATGCCAGAGTAAGCGCACTTCATCTGTATTGAATGAATAGCTTTCCAGTACGATTTCGCACGATAATGAGTCAAAGGGAAACATCTAAATAACTTCGAGATGTTTCATCAAAAAATCTCTTGAAAAAGGAAGTGACAAACCTTGAGATTTACGGAACATGGAGTTTTGACATTCAGCCTGAAAATGGAAAGCTTGGTTTAGAAAAGGAGCGGCTAAATAGCAAAGAGCGAGCACTTTATGAGAAAATTTTTGACAAGGAAAATCACCTAAAGTTGCTCCAAACCAAGCCGTTCTCATACAGGATCAAATATGTATTTTCTGAAGGTGAGCTATGAATTGAACTAGATTTGCTGTTAATTATGCATGTATCTGGCGTCCATATTTTCTTTCGGAAGTCTGACTGAAATTGATTGAAAATTTTTGATGAGCTGCGGTAAGAGACCAACAAATATTCAGATACCTTCAAAGTGATATTTGTAGCGCAAACATTTAGATGTTTGAATGCAAGTCGAGGATCTTGCCATATTTCACTATACATGACGTCCAGGGAAAAATCACCTGTGATCTCCGAAATTCCGGAAACACCCTGAATAGAATTCAATTGTTTTTCGCAGATATAGTTTTCGAGGATCTTACCTGCACATGCAGCTCGATAGTTACATTTACACCTTCAGATTCTGGCAAAAGATGCACATCGTAATCAGTGAGCAAAGTGTCGATGAGTTTTCCAAGATTTATGCTATTTCTAGAACATTTCCGTGCAGAGACACCACTGCTACCGTACGCTGACCGTACTAGCACTATGCACAGAATAACTGCAGCAACAGAGATCCTGCAAGGATATTGTCTTCAATATACTTACTCAAAGTAAGGCGGTGTTAGTTGCCCGTGCGCCGAGACTGTGCCAACGCCGTGCCAATGCGGGAACCCACGCGTATGCACCGTATTGATCAGTCGGCGTTTCGGCACCGCGCTAGCACGGTGCTGGCACGACAACGGCACGGACGCTCTAAACGCAGCCTAAATTGGCTGACCCACCTTAAGAGAGTACTTCGTAGAATGACCATGCTCATGGACAGATCATCGGCTTAGAGCTGCTGCCGTTATGCAGCCGTGTAATCGTAGGAGTGCGTCGATCACGAAAGTGGAAAACCTGAAATATTGGAAAATTTTATAATACAAACAAATGAAATCTGAGAGCACGCGAAAAGTTCGCAAAGAAACTCCCCCACGCAAATTCAACAAATCTATTTCTAGAGAATTCCGTGCAGAAACGTCATCATTACTCTTGACCTTATCAGTATGCACAAAGTGACTGGAAATAGCGAGAATAATGAGAAGAACTGAATAGTTTCAGGTAAAAAATTGGTTTGAAAGGAGGGATACAATGTTTGTGAATCGCAGAAATAGAGATTTTTTCAATCCGGATACTTTGCATACGTACCCTCTATCTAAGGCGTAGGTGGTTAATTACGGTGAAAGAAAATTTATCGCCCGATATATTAGGTTGTCTCATAATTAATGCACGTTTTTATTTGCTTGCTTTAACAAAGCAACCAGACTCAACCCAACAAAGGGTAAGGGGTACTGTTCGATAGAGCAAAGCAAGCTCTACAAGATGGCACTTACGTCTTTGCGCCATGCTCGATCTACGGAGAGTTCGAAATCAAAATCTAAAGATTTCCAAATGCCCAAAAAATCGATAAAAATCAGATCTTCGTCCAAATAATTTCTACGGACCTCCCACTCACTCACATCAATACTATCGATATCTGATACCCATATGTGCGATTGTCGTATTTTTTCCTTGACTAGAAACTGAGAAAACGAAAATTTCCCTGATTTTCTCAAAGCAATGCTGAGCCGTTTTTGCACATGTAGTTCTATACTACAAGCCTAGATAAGTATGACTGTAGATTTTCAGCCTATGTTGAGCGGTACTTTTCGAGAAATGTCGATTTTAGCACTGAAACTGAAACGAAAAAATCCGAATTCGTTATTTTTCGAAAACTACCGCTTGGAATGGGCTGAAAACCTACAGTTATACTTACCTAGGCTTGTAGTACAGAACTACATATGCAAAAATGGCTCAGCATGACTTTGAGAAAATCAGGGAAATTTTCGTTTTCTCAGTTTCTAGTCAAGGAAAAAATACGACAATCGCACATATGGGTATCAGATATCGATAGTATTGATGTGAGTGAGTGGGAGGTCCGTAGAAATTATTTGGACGAAGATCTGATTTTTATCGATTTTTTGGGCATTTGGAAATCTTTAGATTTTGATTTCGAACTCTCCGTAGATCGAGCATGGCGCAAAGACGTAAGTGCCATCTTGTAGAGCTTGCTTTGCTCTATCGAACAGTACCCCTTACGCTTTGTTGGGTTGAGTCTGGTTGCTTTGTTAAAGCAAGCAAATAAAAACGTGCATTAATTATGAGACAACCTAATATTACAGCTCTGAATTTTTGTCAGAAGGTGCTGGAAATCGTTATACAAAGGTTTGAGCAGACTGGCTAAGAATGACGTATTAACATCAGAAAAAGATTAATTCAATGGGTTGAAGTCTAATAAGTATACAAAGTTATTCACAGTGGTAATCAACATAATCGTTTTTAGAATGTCTTTTCTCAAACAAGTTACCGATTGCTTTTTGTCCCATAGATTCGTTTGTTTTCGTGCGGGTTGCTCAAAACCTATGGATGACCGTATACTAAAACAGAAGTGCTACCGTATATCAGGTAGGAAAAAGGTAAGGGAAATGTTTGTGAAACATAATTAATAGGTTGATTATCTTGCACCAAAACTTTTGAAATTCTGTTACGTTCTCTAGCTTCAATAAAATCTTTTTATTTGGTGGATAATAGAGAAAGAAAATCTTGCGCTTTCCAGGTGCTTGAGTTGATACTACCTAAGGGCATATGATAACGATATTGATTATGATAAATATCCAAAAAGCGACTTGGTTGGTTGCTAAAATTGCTAAAAACGTCCACTGAAATTCAATTTTATTATTGTTCTTGGTTTTATGACCTAAGAGTAGTTGGTAGTGATTGGATGCTAGTAGTCTTAATTAGGTTGGGTTGGATTTTTTTGATATTGACTTGCAATTTTGTTTCATATGGAATTTCTGAAATGTTCAATAAAATACTACTTTCGGTATACATGACAAAGAGCATATTAAGTAAATTGAATAGTTTGTTCATTTTTGAAAATTACTTACATGCGTTATAAAAATGTGCAAATGACTTGTTTATTTTTGTGAACAATTAAAATAATTTTTAAAATTTTTTAAAAATTCAAATTAGCCTTATAAAAAAATTTTTTTCGGGGGCGTGGCTGACGCCACGCCCCCTTTTTCCAGATTTCATGGGTTTGGGGCACGCAAAATTGTTGAGAAGCCCCCCTAAAATTTTTTCGGAGTGCGTGGCTAACGCCACGCACCTTCATTTGAAAATTTTTTTTGCCGCCCCCCCCCCGAGCCGAAATCCTGGGTACGCCACTGGTATGTATGTATGTATGTATGTATGTATGTATGTACAGGGTGTCCCAAAAAGATGTGCACACTGTTTGATTGTAAATAACTCTTTTGTGGTGAAGTGTTCCGAGAAGCTTTAGGTACCATTTTGTAGAGCGAGGATCAACTTAGATTTACAGTGTAGAGCGGATTTAGATTTACAGTGTAGAGCGGATCGCCGATCTCTCATTTTTACTGTAGGATTACGGTAGAAACTTTGAAGAGGGTTTTGAGCCATGAAAGGCCATATTTTGTTCCAAAAGGAAACCAAAACAACCTGAGAACTCTCACACTGGGCTAACTGGAGCTGCTGATTCTAAATGTGAAGTTCGCAACTCTTCCTAATGCTTCATTAAAAAATTATGCGAGGTAAGCAGTAGCTGACGTAGTTTTTAAGTGTTCCTAAAAAGTGCGGTTACACCGTTTAGAAAGCTTCTCAACCTCTAAAGAGTTGGGTATTGAACTCAGGGTCCATAAAAACCCTATTACACAAATTTCCACATTTTTTTGAAAATTTTTGAAACGGCCCCTTTTTTCACAGTGACACCATATGTTTGAAATCTCTACCGTAATCCTACAGTAGCAAAAAGAGATTGGAGTTTCGCTTAATACTGTAAATCTAAGTTGAACCTCGCTCTACAAAATGGTACCTAAAGCTTCTCGAAACACTTCACTACAAGAGAGTTACTTACAAAAAAACAGTGTGCACATCTTTTTGGGACACCCTGTATGTATGTATGTATGTATGTGTGTACATATGTGCGGGATAGAAATTTTTATTTCTGAACCGATTTGGACCAAACTTGGCACACATATACTCCGAGGCGGGGAACGTGTCATAGGCTACTTCTCGTCACCGATAGATATCGATTTTATCGATTTTTATCGATTTCTTGTATAGTTTGAGCTACGGGGCTGGGAGTTGGCACAGGGGGGTAACCGAGCATGCTGATTACGAATACAACATTAGTTTTCGAAATTATCCATTAGTTTTATCGATTTTATAGATTTTTTGCAAAGTTTGAGCTAAGGGGCTGGGAGTTGGCATAGGGGGGGGGGGTAATCGAGCATGCTGATTTCGAAAACAACACAGGGAACGGGGAATGAAGTGTAGAAGTGGATACAGGGAAAGCTGTACAGGGATAGGGTTGGGACCTTCATTACAGTGTTTTGACAGGGCCGAGCGGAGCCGGGTAAGCAAGCTAGTTTTTTCTATTTTTTGGTGCAAGAATTGTGTCAACCTAACATTGGTCATTTGTTTCCATTGATTGTTTTGGTTCTTGATTCTGTACATGAAAGTGATGGGGGGGGGGGGGAGAGGAAGAAGTGTTTTTCTTGCTAGACTGAGCGAAGACGGATATGTCGATTACTGTAGTCAATATTGTAAGTGAAGTATTAGGATGTCCCGAAAGTTTTGTCCGTTTTTTTTTCATCGCTCGCTAGAACTCACTGAATACAATCCAGGACGACGTAAGTACCATTTGATTCAGATTTTTGTTCTCTTTCTTACAGCTATGTTTGCTTTCTGATCTACCCTTTCTCAGGAATGTTATCGTCATGGCATTTGAGCAGCTCAGCACTAACGCCAAAATTTTAGCGAATTTTAAAAATTATTATTCTAATGTTTTCAAAGAGCGTTGATAACCGGTATGTAGAGCAAATCTTTGACTACATCGTATCCGTTTTAGGTTACATATGCGACGCTTATCAAGTCAATTATTTATTCAATAAAAACCGAGCCTTTTTGATTACGTTTACCACGTAAAAGTATCGAAAATTCCAAAAAGCTGCTTTTTTAAAGCAAAGCTAACCTGGTTATGTTAAATAAATTATGTTTAATAAGAATAATGTTTTTCAGTTCGCAGAAACTTCAAAAGTTTTCGTGTATTTGCGGCAGTTGCGTGTTTCATGAGTCCGCCGAAAATCGAGACTTCCGAAGAAATAATTTTTTAAAGCTAAAAACAGCAGAAGGGAGAACATAAAAATACTATCTTGTAGTCCGAGATTTGCTCTGTTTGATCCATACCTAAGCCTTTCCGAAACTTTGGAATGAAATTTTCAAAAGTTAGCCTAACTTTGAGCAGATATGACGTGTAGAGAATTTTGGCAATTATCAAAAAAAGCATGCAAAATTGTGGTTCGAAAATGAAGCCTTAAGAAAGAGAAGGAAAAGCTGCATCGAATGAATGTTGAATCTCATTTAGATCTTTGTTGTGCGTGGTCTTATAGTTGTTTGAAAAAACGGACAAAACTTTCGGGGCAACCTAATATATAGGCAATAGTACTGAAAAAATAGAAAAAGTCACACAAACAGTTGAGTTTGCTTGAATTCATAAGAAACGAAAACTCAAGAGAATTGAAATGAATACTGCTTGCTTTGCCAGCTGTCGATTCCCACAAGTTCTGCAGAACATATGTGTTCGAAGTTTTAGTGTGTGTGCGAACACATTCAACGAGTGAAATCACTCCTAATGTACAACTTTTTTGCAGAAGTATCGATAAAATGGTGTCATTGACCAAGACATAAGGTCTTGAAAATACTCGAGGCTAACTGCAATGGATCGAACAGATTTGATGTGTCTGCACGATCAAATACCAAGCTCATCATTTCGGTTCCAAAACTCCCTTTCTGGGGTCG